CTGGATGTGCATCCCACAAATCTCCATCAACTGCAAGATGCTATCCTATCAATATGGGCCAACATTTCTAAAGAATGCTTTCAGCACCTTGTTGAATCAATGCCACATAGAATTAAGGCAGTTCTGAAGGCGAAAGGGGGTCAAACACCGTATTAGGATGGTGTTCCTAATAATCCTTTAGGTGAGTGTATTTGCTATAAGCAAATACAAGTTAGCAGTGTGAGAAAATGTGCCATGCTACCTTCACAGGACTCTCCTGATTGCTGGCGGCCCACTGCACAGATACAGTGTCCCTGGAGGGCCCCCCACTGCCCGTCAGCTTGGCAGTGCCTCTGGGGGGGTGATATCTCCACAGAACCCTGGATACAGGCCCCTGTCACCAGCCCCGATTCTCCAACCACTGCTGCAAAGTTCACACGGGCTTCAACAAAACCAGGACACTTCATAAAGTACACCTGAACTGAGCCAAGGAAGAGGCAGGGACCAGAGTAGGAAAAGCCCAGGTGAAAGCCAACCCGGGATACTCGACCAAGGTTCAGGCCCTGCCTCTGACTGATCTTCTGCTGTATGTCTTTTATTGTTTCATCGTCTTGGAAGGGCAGGGCAACCCGGAGTTCGAGAATTTGTGTTGAATATTCTCTGCTCTTGAAATTTGGCACGGGGGTGTCTGATTGGACAAGGTGGACATTCAACGGACTCAGTGAGGAGGGACTTTCAACCTCCTGAGCAAACAACAGGTCGATAAATAGGTGCCGTGCATCTCTTCTGGGGATCCACGTGGTCCAGAGTATTTTCTGCGTGGTTTTGTATGCCGAGTTGCAGGCTTGATAGACTGAATAACTAGTCTGATGTCCAAATTGTAATTTAACCTCATCCCACTGTGATAAAAAAAAAACAAAGAAAATCTTAAATAAAAACAAATATAACAACAACTACCCATTAAAACTCACTTTATTTGGCTGTTTATAAATCGGCACATTATTATGCTGGATATAGGCATATATATATATAATCTGATTCATGACTCATTTAGAAAATAAGTGCACCTTGTGGCTTGTGTGTGAATCAATAACTTCCTAAGTGGTAATCATTTCAAACTGAATTAAAGGTGATGGATGGATGGTTGGATGGATGGATGGTTGGATGGATGGGCTGTTCATTTATAATGAATAGCATTGCAGTGAGGAGCTAGCTGTGCTTTGTATATTGTTAATAAAAACTGAAATAAAAGAGGCCTCATGGGGATACTCACTGACTTAAGAGGTGAAGATGACCATTTAAGTTCCACCTGCTCAATGGTATTGAACAGTTCTTCTATAAGGAGGAAGAAATTATCAGAAAGGTCAATCACCAATAGACAGAATATGGTTTCCAGTCACTGCAAAAGTAAAAACTCTAACATTTCAACTGGACTCCATATGGCTAACAATCGACAGAATATAATCCATATATGTTCCTCCAATGCGGATATGCTTGTAACTAGCCGCCATTCTTGGCCAGGACTCCCTGGAAGAAGAGTTATTGTAACTCAATGGGACCTTCCTGGTTAAATAAAGGTTAAATAAATAAATAAACATATCTGTGGATTTTAAAATTAGTATTAGATACTAGAAAACAAACAGTACATCAAACATACAAACAAGACCAATTCAATTTATACAGCCTTTTTAAGAAAAGGTATTGACCGTCAGCAGAGGGGTGCATTCTCCCTTCAAGCATTTACTTAAAAAAAGTACTTTAAAAATTTTGTGCTTTTCAGTTGAGTGCATGGGAGAACAGACCCCAGGGACCATTACAGAGAGCTGGGCCAGAGGTCTCCAGAGTGTAAGCCTGAGGCCTGAGGTAATGTGGAGAAGAAGAGGGGGGGGGAAGGGGGGGGGGGGGGGGGTTATACGCCTGAAACATTCACACAATTCAATGTGTTAATGCATCTTCATTTGGGGGTTTCAGCCTGATCCCTAAAGGTGACATGCAGGAAGCATCATAAAGCTCATTACTCTCGTATATCAGAAATCAGAAATATGAAATCAAAGGTTAAATTTCTTTAACTTTGGAAGAACTGTGTAACTGTGCAGAAATTGTGTATTTTTTGTATATGTATTTTATTCAATATTTATTTTTTTATGAATTTATGAACGATTTATAATATGATTAGTACGGGAACACCCTGGACAGGTTGCCAGTAATTCACATGGCATATACTCACACACAATAACGCAATATGGGCAAGGGCATGTGTTTGGATTGCAGGAGAGCACAACATAGGCCTGCTACACAATACATGCAAACTCCAAACATAAAGAGCTGGGGCAGGATTCTAACATATATATGTCTTCATTTTTATAAAAATTACACTGCTTTTTGCGGGGATTTTCTGTTTCCATATAAAAGATGTAAACTTTTTATTCGACATCTTAGGTGCTCAGAGGAAACAGCACAATGACATCATAAAGCACAGTTAGCAAACGCTGCTGTGAATTTTGTATTAAATAATACATATTTGTCTAGAGGCATATATGTTATATTTTTTAAAAGGTTAACAAAACTTTATTTCATATATCGCGCTAGAAAGAGCAACAATTGTGTATTTTCTTCATTTTCTAGTTGTAGTCCGGAGTTCTGGATACGTGTCTTATGCGTTTTGCTTATAAGTAATTAAGATACAGTTTATACAAATTAGGCTAATTATTCCTCTACAGGGTGGTTTTAACACAATATATTTTTAAAAGGATTTTCAAACAGTAGTCTACAAGAGTGAGATTGCCTGCATGGGAATCTTTCCTTTCATACCTACAATGCACACTTTTACACATCGCAAAATTATGAATTAATGTGCTGCAAAGGTATAAAACCAACATTAAGTAAAGACGTCTCCATTCCTAGATATTCAGGTGTTCAAAATTACATACCGAAATAAGCGACTTGGATACTCGAGCATTGAATTTTTGTGTATCTTAAATATAGCGAAGACAGTGCCAGATGTTACTGTAGCCTATATAATTTTATATTATAGAATTTTGGAGGAATAGCTGTAGGGATGAACTGAATATGAACCGTGCACCTTACCTCTTATTGGCGTGGGTTCCGCACGGGCTACGCACTGAAATATCCACAAGCCTACTGAGACGAACAGTGGACCCACAACGTTTCCAAGTCCCCAAGGTTTCATCTTGTAAACAGCCAGGTAATCGTACTTAGAACTACTGAAACTCAGTTACATGTCAAAAAGATTAATTTGACATAATTCCGCTTTTTTGCCCTACATTTTTTCCCCAGATCTCCGATCTGGTAATTACGAGGGGGAAATTACTTTCGCTCACTCCCTCTTTTTTCTTTCCTTTATTTTCCCAAGAACAACAATAATAGCACAAATATTTTGATTAAAAAGCGAGCTGGAAACTTTCTGTTAGACCTAAGGTAGACCTAGCGAAATTAAGTTTAAATAGCAGCAAAATGACTAAACTAAAGTTACTAGTAATTCACAGTTAAGTACACCTTTTTGATAGCACGGATTTTTTAAATGTGCCCAGCGTCTGGCTTTCTAAACTGACAAAATCTGCGAAGTAGCGAGAGACCAAACCCCAAAAATTCAGGGAACTGCGCGTCACCTTGTAAACTCAAACATTTTTGGGAAACACGTGGATAAAATGCATGACCGTCATAATTTTAAATCCCTGTATTTGTATATTTTTCTTTCACTTCCCTTTTCACTGTTTGCTGACTGTGAGCTCAGGGATTAGTTTCTGTTCTTTAATTTTGATTTAATATTTATTAGACAGCATAAACCATTTTCGGTTACATTCAGGGTTATAATGACTATTAATTATGGGTTATCTGAAACCAGTTAAGTAAAAAGACATTTCCATCTGCAACTTTGCTGGGTAGATTAGATTAAACTTTATTGTCCTTGTGCTGAGTACAGATACAGAGACAATGAAATGCAGCTTTCATCTAACCAGGTACAAATAAAATGTATAAATACACTAAATACAATACATATCAATAAATTATTGGTAAATTATGAAAATATTTAAATTATGGTTCTGTGCAAACTATGCATGAGGTTGTCTGTAGCATTAGGTGCAGACTGGAAGTAAAGTGAGAATGATTGTGCTAGGAGATATGAAGATGCATGATGGAAAGGCACATACAGTAGGTATTCCAGAAAACGGGTTTAGCAAGTTACTCAGGTATGTTCATTTGCGTTCACGGAGACCTGTTTTTTCTGTTTCAGAAACTGAGATTACAGAGAGTCTGGTCTCCCTAAGCCTGATTTTGGTACCAGTCCACCATCACCACCACAGGTGCTTTGCTTTTTAAGACGCTAACTCAAAAAAATGTTTGATGGTTCTTTTTCATACTTTGCGGAGGCATCGTATGAAACAGGAACAGGAAATGGAAAAATGGAACAGGATAAATTTTTAAACATATCGCACCAAAATTGAAGAATTGAAAATTAAGTGCTTCAGTATCATAGACCTGTTACCAAGCTGACAGATCTGCTGTGGCCTTTTACTCTGCATTCGGACCCCAAGCTGACAGACCTGCTGTGGCCTTTTACTCTGCATTCGGGCCCCAAGCTTTGCTCAACTGTGTGTGTGACCAAGTGTCCTCACTATGATAAAAACATGTCATTCTGATGTTGTGGGGACCATTTTTTCAGTCCCCAAAAAGATAATCTCACTTTTATAAAAGTCTGTAACTTTTCAAAAACTAAAAATGCCAAAAGTCTTGTATTTTGCTTGGTTACGGTTAAGGTAGTGTCTAGAACTCAGGAATTTCTGACACGGGGGCGGTCATTGTGCAAGCAGGAAAAGGAAGGTGGACGATCCACTTATGGCTCTGAGGCAACAGGGAGGTTTATTAACAAAACTGAAGACACTAGGAACACTACAAAACAATGGACCACGAGGGGTCAAAACTAAAAAGGGAAAAAACAAAGACTAATTACAAAACGGTCAAGGCAACAAAGAGCAGGCAGGCAGGTAGGGAGGGAGGGAAAAAAGTGCAAATAAAAAACAACACAGGGTAACATCTAACATTTGGAAACACTCATGAAATACACCTAATGAAATACACCAATGTCCCACTAGGGAACTGAACTAAGGTGGGAACACAGTGGTACTTCGGTTCTCAAATTATTTAAATATTGATAATAAACCATTAATACGTTTAATTATGTGGCACACGGAAGGAGCGGACGATCGGGGCAGGACACATTTTTTTTTTTTAACTGTACACATTGGTTGGATACATTTATTTTCTTACTTTACAAATTATTGTTTTGATAAATGTGCTTAGATGTGTTTAGTACAGTATATGCTCTTCTTGTTTTATCCTGTTCATTTTGTGTTTAAATGCTAAAAAAAACATATTTAGGTGTAATTTTTTGGGGCCGGGAACCAATTAATTGGTTTTCCATTATTTCTTACGGGGAAAATTCGATCAGAACGCAAATTTCTTAGGATTCGAACCCGAGTTCAGAACGGATTAAGTTCGCGTTCTGAGGTACCACTGTATACAGAAACTGAACCAAGTAATGATGCAGCAGGAGTGAGAAATGAAACAATTACCCAATCAGGGCTGAACACACAAGGACTGGCACAAGAAAACAGGCAACAGGTGAAACAAATAATTAAATCAAGGAACTCAAACTTAACAGAGAAACTAAGAAACAGAATCTAACACTAGAGGAATAACAAAGACAGGTAAAAACACAACCACGGGCATAAAGCAAAAAACCAAAACCGAATATAAGTTACAAAACACAGGAACTAGAAAACTGATACAAATGAAACACTAGGGAACAAAATCTACAAAAATACAAAAGGTGGGATTTGAACACCTGACAGAGGGGTTCAGTGAGCCATGCGGAAGGAAACAGACTGAAAGGCCAGTGACACCTGTGTCACTCCTCCAAATGGGGAGAAGACATGAAAGACTATGACAGAGGGGTGCTGACCCTGACAGGTTGTCAGATTTGTCAGAGGGATTTGGCCCATAGAAATTAATTGAGAATCCATATAAATGTCAATGTCAGTTTATGTATAGATATTTAAAACAACTTCAGAATGCTGCAGCCAAAGTGCTTTACATTAAGACATACAATGAACATAAATAAAACAGACAAAAATAGAAATGAACAGAAATAAAAATAAGATGTAATTTATTTCTAATAAAACAAAACAACTGTCACGTCGAAGACAAGGATGTAGGCGAAGGCAGGCATGGGGGGAAACCAAAAGGGGATTTATTTAATGAAACTACAAGTGGGGCAAAGGAAACAGACCACAAGGCATCAAAACGAAGTAGGAAGGATCAGCAAGAACACAGTGTACACTGGGGAGCACATGCAGGCAGCAACATCAATGACTGAGCTCCAGATCGTAGGACTGAAGGACGCTTTATACAGGGCACATGAGGGAGCAGACAAGAGGCGCCTGGGGTGATCCACACAAGGGCTGTAACAAGATGTAAGATTAAATAAGTAAAAGGTGAGGCTCGTTAAAGCCACACAACAGAGCAAACAAGGGGGATGGGATGCAGGGCGTGACAGTACCCCCCCCCCGCCCCCAACACATGCACTTCAGGAATGCAAGAACTACAGAGGAACTACAAATTAAGGAATATGATGGCGGCATGCACGGGTGCAGCGGCTTGGTGCTCCTCATTCCAGTGTTTTCTATGGAAGTGTGTGATAGTATTGCTACTTGTCCTACCTACATTTTGCCGAGCCGACATCTACAGCTGGCACGACCTTATCAAGATCGGAGTTTGCAGCAAGGGAAGTATTTCATCCGAGTTTCTCCACCTCCACGACATTCCGGCAGACATAATGAGGAGTCCCGGCTCTCTGTGGATTATCATCCCCGCAGGCAGGCGACGGAGGCGGCGCAGGAAGAGGAAGGAAAAGCGAGGCTGCAGGGCTGGTGTGCTAGTGAGGCTATGGAGGCAGCCTTTTAAACACCGCTCCCCAGGAATTTCCCCACCGATGCCAGATACCACGTCAACAAAAATGTAAAATGCATTCACTATAAACAAATCCTTATCTGTAAACAGTTATAAACAGTTCCTTATCTGCATGTCAACTATGACAAATGAGATGGCAATATATAATATATTAAAGCCAATGCACTTAATGCATTAATTCAGCTGAAAACAAATTCAGATTAGCAAAAGTGCAACAAGAACTGTATCTAGTACACCATATGTTGTCAGTTGGCAGTTAGTAACAGTAGATAAGCCTTTGGATTCTTAATTCTTAAGTGGAAAGTGCTGCAGTATAGCTGAAACATTTCAATGAACAAAAAACAAATCTGTATCTAGCATGCCGTACTGGAATTTTTTTTACAAAAAAACAGAGACTTGTTACCTTACGTTGACATTAATCTGATTGCTGTATTGGTTACTTCCTTTTGTGTTGCGATATGTTGTGGCTTACATAAAGCCCCACTTAAAGTCCAAGAGTTTTTTTTATCAGGGTGGCCACATGGGAATTTACAGTTGCTACCTTTTTCTGGACCAGCTTCCCTGTCTTCTTGGAAACAACCTTCCCCTGGTAAGCCTTTGTTCCCTTCTCAGGGTTGATCCCAACAAAGCATCTAAATTATTATAAAAAAAAAAAACACAGTAAAATCATCCTTAAAATTACATTCTATGAAACTGGGCAGGATCTAATTTAGGTACACATGTTTTGATCTGTGGCCTTCCTAACAGTAACTATTGGACTGAGCAGGTATTGCATGGGAATGCAAAACCATTATAAGGTAAGGAAGAATATTACAAGGAAATCCAAAAGTATTTCAGGTAAACAGAAATGTGAAACGACAAACACACGTCTATATATAAACACCTAAAGCAGGTTTTAATGTCTTATTAAGTATTGTATGCAATTTTAAATTCAAGGTATTTTCATATGAAAAGAATTCTGTGGCATTTTAAATTATAATATAACATTGGCAAACAGAGCTGGCAATACAAACAATGTAGACTAGCAGAAAATTTACCTGTGAACAAACTCCAGAGTCCTTGAAGCTTCCTCTTGGTATTGCAAGTTAAGCACATAGTAGACAGCAAAAACTGCAGCAAGTCCTGTGGTGAAGCTTGGCTGGACGCCTTCACAAATGACATGGTTTTCAATGCTGATCATTCATTGTCCAATGGTTACTTTGTCTCCAGCAACTGATGAAGACAATAATTAGTTAATGCCCCAAAACTGTAGGGCCTATCTGAGCATTTGTAGGGTTTTGGAATTGGTCTGATGAAAGTTTGAGCAAGATTTTTGCCATTTTAATTTTAAAACCTCATAAGTTATCCATACATCCATCCATCCATCCATCCATTATCTTCCGCTTAACCGCGGGCAGGTCATGGGGACAGCAGTCTCAGTAGGGAAACCCAGACTTCCCTCTCCCCGGCCACTTCATCCAGCTCCTCTGGGGGAATCCCGAGGCGTTCCCAGGCCAGCCGAGAGACATAGTCCCTCCAGCGTGTCCTGGGTCTTCCCCGGGGTCTCCTCCCAGTGGGACATGCCCGGAACACCTCACCAGGGAGGTGTCCAGGAGGCATCCTGACCAGATGCCCGAGCCACCTAATCTGGCTCCTCTCAATGCGGAGGAGCAGCGGCTTTACTCTGAGTCCCTCCCGAATGACCGAGCTCCTCACCCTATCTCTAAGGGAGAGCCCAGCCACCCTGTGGAGGAAACTCATTTCTGCCGCTTGCACTCGCGATCTCGTTCTTTCAGTCATTACCCACAGCTCATGACCATAGGTGAGGGTAGGAACATAGATCGACTGGTAAATCGAGAGCTTTGTCTTTTGGCTCAGCTCCTTCTTCACCATGACAGACCGATGCAGTGCCCGCATCACTGCTGACGCCACACCAATCCGGCTGTCGATCTCCCGCTCCATCCTTCCCTCACTCGTGAACAAGACCTTGAGATACTTAAACTCCTGTACTTGGGGAAGGACCTCTTCCCCAACCCAACTCATAAGTTATACTAATGCAAATCCTTACTTTCTACATCCTGGGATGGTAAATTGATAAAATAAATACATTCTTGTGAGAACACATAGAGAACACAACTGATAAAGAAAGAAATTAGACAAAAGCTCAAAGAGAATGAGTTAGAGAGGGGTAATAACCTGAGGGATGTAAGTAACATTTTGAGTATGATACTTACCCAGCAATATCAATCGTGGACTGACTGTGAGGGTCAGGGTATGCTCAACATCGGCAACAGTGGCAGACATCTACTGTATATTCCAATGAAAATGAAATTGTCTGTACTGTCAATGCACACATTACACATAATGTTAACATAACTTACATCAGCAAGGATTAGCAGTCCCTCTATATTCTCATCGAAGTAGGTCATCAGCAATTGGATGAGGCGAAGAGACAACTCCACATCTTCATTCTGGGAGAGGGCAACCATGTTCTTTGCTTTTGTCCTTAAATATGTCTCTATTCCTTGTCCACATTCTTGAATGCATTGCTCCATGGCATGCAACACATTAACTCCAGTTAGTAACTCAAAGTGACAGTAGATACCCTTTTGGGTAAAAAGATAAGGCCACTGTTTTTTTTAGTTCTGCAATGGAAAGTGCTGGAGTTTGATTGATTTGGTTTCTCTGAAGACTGAATGTTGTTTTCATGAGGTGTATCACTTCTGCTCTCTCACCACCATGAATACCTTCCTGCCTATAGATGTTTTCCAACTGTTGTTGTTTCCGCTCCAATGACTCATTGGTTTCTTCTGTTGGAGGTGCTGGCTGAAACTGTGTGCATCCATAAGAATCAGTTGGTTTCTGCTGTTGTTCAGACATTCTTGTTGATCTGTGTCGTTTCAATGTTCCTTCTCGATTTATGTTCTCAATGCGTGTTTTTACTTGAGAAACTAGTGAAGTATAACCACCACCAATCATTTTACCTCCCGGTGTCATATCGGCACTACTGGGCCCAGTACTACTGGGGTACTGCCTAACTATGTTTCTGCACATGATGAGACATTCATTGCGTGTGGGGTTAGCCTCATACTTCCTTATTTCATCTACAAGGATTTGTATCATTTGACGTCTCTTGTCAGGAGCTGGTCTCTTGTTGTTGGCAATGGCTGACTGTACCTCCTCAGGCATTTTGTCCCGTGGGACTTCAAAGGTTTCTGGCCATGTACTTGATCTGTTGACTGAATGGATGGCCCTGCTTGAAATGCCAGGTGATGATGCAGATGAAGAGCTTGACAGTGCAGATGGTGAGGAACAGGATTGGACTGGACCACAGGCAACTGTATGTATTGTGTCAAGCTGTGAGAATTGGAGATCAAGTGTAACTGTAGTAGTTTCTGCAACACATATGATTATGAAATTAAAAATATTACATGTCTAAATGTGTCCCATATGCATGAGAATTTGGAAGACAAATCAATTTAGATTGAACTACACTAAACAGAACTAGCAACACTAGATTAATTATAATTACCCATTTTGAATGACTGAAGAAGTTTCCTTTGCTGTATAACAGGCAACAGGTTGCTGATGTCATCCTGCTGTACATACTTGAGGTCTTCAATTGATTCCACACCTGACCTTTCAAGAGTAGTGATAATCTGTTGCCGAGTGTCCTCAGAAAGGCTGGGCAAAGCCTTGAAGATGATAACCTTTATTTCATCTCGGATGGATGACATGATTCTAAAATGTAGAGACAGAATGGTGAAGAGTTATCAAATTCATGCCACAAACAAAGTATTCATGCAGTGGGTAATAATCAAGCAGCTCTCCATGACTGACACTGCAGTAGGCCTCCTGCACTGGTGTAGTGTGATAAGCATTAATGCAAGGTAGACGAACAGCCTGATATATTTCAGTGATGAAGTACATTGTTGAATTCTTATGAATGATAGCCTTTTTGATTTTTCCAACTACAAGGCCATCATCATTACAACCTACCACAACAAACATGTTGCTCCTATATGTTGTCCCTTGTAATGTCACATCATGACTAATGACAGTATTTAGGGGATCAAAGTTGAGATGAGCAACTGACTGTCTTATCTTATCATTGTAGTCTCCCACAATAAATTCAGTTCCCTTCTGAACAACAACAGATGGTCTGAATAAGTTCCCAGCATTTAGAAAAGACTGCAAAAGCTGGTGTCTTTCAGCAAGGGTTCCACAGAGGTTTTTAAAGTTATGCAACTTTCTTGCACATTGCTTGAAGTAAGAATGCTTACTTTCAAATCTTAATGTCCACAGACGGATGAGCGGCCCAAAGTGAACTATTAGTTCTGGATAATGATTTAAATAGTGATGCTTAGGCTTAAGTGGGTGGTCCTCAAAAATCTGCTTTCTAATAATTAAATACTCATCAATCAGAACTCTTAAATATGCCACCTGGCCTGTAGAAATGGTTGGAGCACAAACAAGCTCCACAATCTCTCTGAGCTGTAAGATAAGCTGCCACACTTCACTCTCTCCCGGGCTTTTTATTTTATCACCAATCAATAATGGCAACATTCTCAGGAAACACCAGTTCTGAGCTGCATTTCCAGAGAGTTTTCCAGCCCCTAGGTTCACCTCACAAGGTTTGTTTTTGGCATCATTGCCCAGATATTTAAACTGGTTTATGTGCCGATTCAGTTCAACATAACTAAAAAGTTTTTTTTTTTAAACAAGGTAGTTGACGTATAATCCCAAATCAGTTGAGACAATACCCTCAAAAAGATCATGGCCAAGGCAAGGGGGTAATCCAGGCTGGCACACATGAAAATATGTTAGCTCATTAAATATGGAGTCAAATTTTACCCCATTACTTGCTTCCACATTACAGCTCAGAGCCTCAACATGTTTTTGATATGTTTGTGGTGTCCGGCTCATAACATATATACCATATGGAGCCTCACAGCAGTTGCAGGACTGCTTCACTAGGACTAACTGGGACATTTTTGTACACACAGACTTGGAGGTGTTTAGTGACAGCGTACTGTGTTACATTAAGAACTGCATAGACACTGTCACAGTCTTCCCCAATCAGAAGCCCTGGATGATCAGGGAGGTCCAGAGGCTGCTAAAGAAGAGGAACCTGAAGAGGGGGCATTAGAGAGGCCAAGTCAGATTACAAGAGAAATATCAAGGAACATCTGGACAGCAACGACGGCAGGCAGGTGTGGATGGGTTTCCGGCAAATTACCAACTACAGGACCAGTTCCAGAGCTGTGGGAAGTGATTTATCACTGGCAGAGGAACTGAACCTCTACTTTGCCTGGTTTGAGATGGAACCACCAGAGGCAGCTAGACCACATCCAGAAACCAACAACAGCCCCATGTTCATGGTGGAGGAGCATGAGGTGAGACGCATGCTGTGAGCTGTCAACCCACAGAAGGCAGCTGGACCTGACGGCATCTCAGGACGCATGCTGAAGAACTGTGCAGACGAACTGGCCGTGGTCTTCACCAGGATATTCAACCAGTCTGTCCCAGTCCACCATGCCACCCTTCCTGAAGTCCTCCGTCATAGTGCCTCTGCCCAAAAAACAGACCATCAGACTTAATGACTACAGACCAGTAGCACTGACCCCTGTGGTGATGAGGTGCTTCGAGAAGCTCATCAGGAACCACATCATGTCTTTCATTCCTCCCATGTTTGATCTGTACTAGTTTGCCTACAGAGCAAATAGGTCTATGGAGGATACTGTGGCCACTGCTCTCCATGTTGTTCTGTCCTATCTGGAGCAGCAGGGGAGCTACACACGGCTGCTCTTCATAGACTTCAGCTCTGCTTTTAATACCATCCTCCCTCACAGACTGGTGACCAAACTGTTGGACATAGGACTTCCACAATGAACCTGCCTTTGGATCAAGGACTTCCTGAGTGACCGCAAACATAGGGTTAGAGTGGGCCCTCACTTGTCCACACCCATTAGCCTCAGCACTGGTTCCCCGCAGGGCTGTGTGCTGAGCCCCCTGCTCTACACCCACTACTGCATTCCTGCTCACCACAGTAACACCATTGTTTAGTTCGCTGACGACACCATGGCAGTAGGGCTCATCTCTGAGGGGGATGAGTCCACTTACAGGGATGAGGTGGAGTGGCTGACAGCATGGTGTTGGAACAACAAGAACTTGCTCCTCAACACAACCAGGACCAAGGAGCTTGGAAGGAGGAAGACAACATCCAGGCACTCATCTCCGACGGGGACTGTGTGGAGAAGGTCTCAGATTTCTGCTTCTTGGGAGTCACCATGAGGAAGGACCTGACCTGGGGAACAAACACTGCTGAGCTAGTGAAGAAGGCCCAAAAGAGACTCTAATTCCTGACAGTTCCCAGGAAAAATAACATCCCTGAGAAACTGCTGGTGTCCTTCTACAATTGCACGGTAGAGAGCATCCTGGCCTACTGTCTCTATGCATCATTCTCCAGCTGCACAGTAGCACAGCAAAAAGAGCGCCACAGGGTCATACTGGTCACACTGTGGATAGTCGGCTATCCTCTCCCCTCACTTGAAGAACTGCAGTTCCCGTTGTGTCAGGAACATCGAGAAAATTCTTCAGGACCCATTACACCATGTACTGTTTGAATGCCTGCCTTCAGGCAGAAGTTTCAGATCCATAAAGACCAAAACTAACAGAATAAAAAACAGTTTCTATCCTTCAGCCATCACCATACTGAATGCTGCTAAGTTGGACAATTGCTTAACTGCTATTAACAAGTGCAATAGGTGAAATGTGCAATATATTGAAACTATGGGGTACAACTGCTTCATCGTGCTCACCTGTTTATTTATGAGATTTATTTTGTTTCATTGTTACTAATTTATCTATTGTTTTGATGTTGTGATGGTCAGCGGTGGAATGTAACAAAGTATTTGTACTTCATTACTGTACTTAAGTACATTTTTATGTATCTGTACTTTACTTAAGTAAAAATAATAATGCATACTTTTTATTTTACATTTTGCGGCAATTATCTGTACTTTCTACTCTACTACATTTCTACAATTTATGCCGTTAGTCGTTACATTTTATGAACACAATTTCCTCAAAATCTTGAGTTATCATCTTAAGCAATGCATTGGCGGCGGTGGACCAGTTCCAAAACCATATTTATTCCCTGGAGTCTGGAGAATATAATCAGTGAGTGAATGATGAGACCAATGAGGTGGTTACTTTTAGGCAGAGGTTGTAGTATTGTTAGGTTAGGGTGCTGTGAGACAGGTGTAGCTTAATATGGTTTCAATTGGTCATGTATGAACCCTTCACTAGCAGAAAGAAGCTAACAATTTTCAATTACTGTAGTTTTTTTGAACTGGTTGGTTCGACTTTTAAGAAATTTGAGAATTGAGGTACCACTGTATATGTATTTATGTATTAGCCACAGGCCTGTCAGGATATCCATGCCAAGCCCTGCTAGCATGAAACGCAGCCCACAAGCATCAGGACTGGACCTTGGAGCAATTGTAGGTCACCTGATCTGATGAATCCTGCATTCTGTTGCATCATGTTGATGGCCTGGTACGTGTTGAGCATCTGTAGGATACGTTGGGCCAAGTTCTGGCTGCCCAGCACCGTTTTGGTGGTTCATGGATTTTCCCTCAGATCACTCTCCTCACCAAGGCCGACTGTCAGCACCCCACAAGCCTTGCATACACTCCTGCTGAGCAAAAAATAATAATAATGGGCCAAAGCTTTGTTATGCAGTTTTGGTTTGGCCCAGTTTTTGTGCTCAGGATTGTATGTAATATTATCACCTGCAGTCAAGTCATGATTTCTTTATTTTGTGCTAATCAAAATCACTTTTTCTTCATTACCTGAAAACAATTAAGTGTTATGGTGCATCCCAAACATAGGTTTACCAGTCTTTAAATCTCAACTGAAGACCCATTATTTCAGTATAGCTTACCCGCAACCTAACACAACATAACTATGGCTGTTGGCGCTGCTGCACATGTCTTTTTATCTACTATGCTTGTCCATTATGTGTCAAAGCATGTTCTGACCATCCATGCTCTCTGCCTTCCCATATGTCGGGTGGTGCCCAGGGTGAGCACTATCTGAGCTAGAGTCCTGGTTCAGTCCCATAGAGGGGTGGAAAATGGGACCTATGAACTGTATCATCGTGGGCGCAGTATTCATGGCCATCCGACACAGGCCAGCGTGAAGAAAAGACTTATTGATGGACTTTGGCCAACCTACCAGTAGGGTGGGGTGAAAAAATCAAAATTTCCAATAGCAATTTCCAGTAGTGCGGAATAGTTGTCACTGGACCTCGTTATTAAATGTGCAAAATATCTTTGAAATAGGTTAATATTTTCAGGTTATGCAGGTTTTCACCTGTCACATCAATGGGCAATATACACTATCCATTATCTATACTCATCGGTGTTGTGTTTGTGCACTTTCACAGCATGATAATAACTACAAAATACCAACGTTCAGGTAACGCAGATTTTTACTGGGTCTCAGCCATACACATACATTACATCGCTCTGCCAATGGATAACGGACTCATTGATGGACTTTGTCTTCAGTCTTAATCACAGCTTATACCTTTTGCAAACATGTCCACTCTTTTCTGTGTTCAGTAATGTTAGTGCCCAAGGGGGTTGGGCAGCCAGTTGACCTTGGACCCCCAGAGGTTTTTTTTCTCCTTACTGGGGATTTTTTGGTTCCTCTCCTCTGTTGTGTTCTGGCTTTCTTTATGTAATTTCTTTCCTTCCTTTTTACTGTTCTGTATTTCTCTTTTATGATGTTTTATGTATCACACCACGTCCATATAAAACACTTTGGGACAACTCTGTTGTAAAAGGCACTATATAAAAATGAATTGAATTGAATTCAATTGAATATTTAGACGTCAATGGCATCGACTGAACTTCAGCTTAGGACTATAAATAAGCTCTTACTTTGCGTAATTATACTTTGGAGATGTAATATAATGACACCATCAGACAATATACTGTATAGTAAGATGAAGCTGCAAAAGTCAGTGTTCCAAATGGGCCTCAACTCAAAGGTTAGTCAAGTCTGGGTTGGTTAAATTCCTCTCAGGTTTATCCTGCTCCTGTCCAGGGGCCTGAACTACAAAGGAAGTTTGGTAAAATGAATACAATTGCTCAAACTAGAATGTGTTCTGTAATTTCCTACTGAGTCATTCTAGCAGGAGATACTGAGCGTGTACATATCATAATTACACCATCATCCCTTTGCTTTTACTTTACTTTTTGTTTATTTAGCAAACACTTTTGTCCAAATCAACATACAATTTAGGCAATTGGCCCATTTATTAAATAATTCTTGTTTTTAACCACTGCACCCATAAATCCATGATACTTTAGCCAATATTTTCAGTATCTTTTTTAACTTTCATTTTATTGTGATTCTACGGAGCCCCTAAAGGGACATAGGTGATTTATATATTTTTTTACCATATCTGGTGCGCACCAGATACTAAGTGGTGCTTACCAGATACTAAAGTATTTGGTGAGCACCACTTAGTATCTGGTGCACACCAGATATGATAAAAAAAAAATGTTAATCACCTATGTCCCTTTAGGGGCTTCGTATGATTTTAACTGTAGTGCAAATTTTCAAAACTCATTCAGTCCATGAGATGAACTTTTAAAATTCTGTGGATCTAGTGAGTTTTGGAAATTTATCCAAAGATAAGTTGGATTACAGGAGGGCATTGAGAGTTTTGGTTTCCGAAACTGCAACGTATGGTGAAGACGCCTGACATTAGGTCACTGGCGGTCGCGTCTCAAAATCAACAAAAAATGGACTGAATGTGTTTGGGAAGTTTGCTCATCAATTTCTTTAGCTATGTTATACAAAGCCAGCATAAGCCCTGTTCTGACAGGATTACTTTTAACTGGGGATGTATTGCTATTGAAAAAATTACCAAAAATTCTATAATTTCAATCTAGACCAAACCTGCCATATCTGTTATTATTATTAGCTTCTCGAGTAAAACTCTGGAGTAAATTACATATGTATTTCAGTGAACAAAGAACTCTTTTTGTAAAAGTAATCCAGTCCAAAGTATCATCTTGGTAATAAGGTCATATCTATAAAGGCAATTCTCTTTATTGTATGGTGGAAATAGCATTTATCTGCTAAAAATGGAGCTCGAATGGATACTGAGTTTTCCTCATTCACCTCTGATAACTTACTCTAATAGCCTCTTCTGCTGCATGGCTTTTAGTAGGTACAGAGCAGTACAACACTACTGAGTACACCGAACTGGAAGCTGCTGAATGGTTGGGAGGAAAATAAAATTCTGTTTTTATTGTGTTTGATTAGAATGTTAAAGGGATAGTTCCCCCCAAAATGAAAATTCTGTTATCATTTGCTTTCTAGATGAGCTAACTCATATAGACCAGATGGACCAGATTATACAAAACAACTTTTTCCAAACAGGGGTTTAGCATCCAAAAGTCAATATTAATCAGCAGAGTAAGTTTAGATGGAAGATGGTGGTGTTCACAAGATGGTGGCTGCGGGCTCCATTTTTGCTCCCGGCTGCCTCCTCCTGACAGTCCCAATTTTGCTGCCTTGTGTCATTGCAGTTATAATTTTGGATCTGACCAAATGTACATTGATAGGTGTAGATTTTCATCCATATAATAGTTTGTGAAATATTAATAACATCAATCAATGATTCAATAGAGTAAGTAGAGTAAATATTGACAAATAGATTGATCCTGTTCACAAGGATAAGCCTCTAATTATCTCATCCTTCTTTATGATGTCATTAAGTGCTGTTGCTTAACTTTTGGTGCAATTTGTCTCAAAATTTTCATAACTCCAGGACTTCACCAATACAATGTCCTATACAAAGTTTGGAAAAGATTGGTTTAATAATTTTTGAGTTATCATGCTGACAAATGTACTGTTTGAGTTTGAAAAAGATCTGTCAAATGGTTTTTGAGTTATTGCTTTAAAGACCAAAGCGTCTGCAGCAACGGACCAGTGCTAAAACCATATGTATTCAAAAAAGTCTGGGGAATACAATAACTGTTTTCTGTTTTAGGCAATATAAGTTTTTTCATAAATAAATCCTGTTTGTTGTGTTGCAGCACTTTCCGGGCTAATTCAGAGCCTGTCACATTTTTCAATTTTTTATTTTTTTTTGTTGCTGCTTTATCCAAAAAGCATTTAAATTTATTTGTTTCCTCACCAATCGATACGTAGTACTCCACCTGGGTTTGGGGGTTTTCTGCGATTCTTCTCTGCAGATTCTTAAGTATTGTCAGCTTGGATGTAGATTGTCAATGGCCAGCTAGTTTCGGGTCTCTCTGGAGATGTTTGATTGGGTTCAAGTCCAGGCTCTGGCTGGGCCACTCAAGGACATTCACTAGTCATTAAGCCACTCTTGCATTGTCATTGCTTTGTGTCTAGGGTCATTGTCCTTTTGGAAAGTGAAAATTCCACCCAGTCAGTATAGTGCACACGGTACCAGTCAAAAGTTTGGACACACTTACCTAGAAACGTTTACTTGCACTACTCTCTACATTTTAGAATAACTATAAAAGACATTTAAAAATAAGTTTTTGGAGTGGGGAGCAGCTCTGTGAGTTGGGACTCGGAAAGTTGCCAGTTCAAATCCCGTGGTTGGCAGAGTGATCCCACCACTGGGGCCTAGAGCAAGGCCCTCAACCCCAAATCCATTGGACCCTACTGTATCCTCTATAGCAGTTTTGTGAGGTGGCCTCCTGGGATGCTTTCCCAGCTGTCCTGAAGTAGGTCCCACATATATGCCGGGCACTCACTGGCTGCTTTTCCTTAACTATCAGGTAAAACTCCTCCAAAACATTTCCACTGTAATTAGGCCAGCTAGTCAAGTCATGTAATGGGACACGCTATTATTTTCTTTTGTAGGTGGCTTGGTGTGTCCAAACCTTTCACTGGTACTGTAACATACTGCAGTATTATGTGGGTGTGACTATGAGCATTTACTCAAAGTGGAACAGCCTGTTTTGCTGATTTCCCAGAATGGCAGAGCTGTTACAGAGTAGCAGTGAAACATGCCACTAAAATGTTTTAAGACACACTGACCTTTTGCTGCATTAAAACAATCCTCTGTAGCTCTTTTGTTGTAATATTATTCCCCACAGAGGTTTATGTTCTGTATTCAGGATTAAGCTGTAGGGAGCTTTTGTAAACATGAAAAATGTGATCTACAGCATTGACTGCCAGTTGATAAATAATAAAATAAAATCTATCCTAAATATGAGCTGGAATCATAAATTTGCTGTGCTGCAATCATTCTTGCTGTTTTTTCCATGGTGTGAATTAAACATGATTCAGAATCAAAACCCCTTTATCAAAGGAAATTGCAAAAAAGTCTCAGGTTCATTATTTAAAAATGAAATTCTCAGTAGCAATATAGACTTCAGATATATACACACATACACACAGACACACTTATTGTCCAAAATAATTTTATTCTTCTAACACACATTTTACAAAGAGTGCAAACACGTTAAAGATAAGTGAAGTTTTCTAAGGTACACAGCTGTGGGATTTGATTAAAAATCAAGATGTAAATGAAAGGCTAGAATACACTTTTAGTTTAATCCATAATCATCAACACAGGGAAAATCCCAAGCCAAAGAACTGCAGCAGCAGCAGCAAGAGCAGTAACAGCAGGGATACCAGGAGAGGGACGTCCAGCAAGAAACATTCAGCCCAGTTCACTCACCCACAGTGTGACAGTCATTCAGGTACCAGTAGAGTTTGACCTTTCAACACCTTTTTCTTGATGAAACCATAAGTCAAACAGCCCATTTAATTTTTTGCTTAATTTTGGACAGTGAAGTAGCTGAAGCTGTTATGTGTTTTATCAAAGGTTTCTATTTATGTGAGAACTGTTGAATTTAGTAGCGATTTGGTTTCAGTTTAAAGTGCCAGTGTACCCCTGGAAAATAAATGAGAGGGGGATGAAATTATAAAACATATAACACACAATTTAGTCTAACATTTATCCCCTTCCCAGAAGACTGTTTGTCTGTGCAGCAGTATCCCATGTAGGTGTGAATATTCCCATAAAGCATACTTTAACAAGAAATGGCAAATTTGGTCATGTCTAGCCTGCTTGCTTATAATTGACGCAGTACGCTTGGCAGTCTCAGTTTTGCCACTAAGAATAGACAAATAAGTATTCATTGATTAAGGAGGTAAACTACAAATAAACATAAACCTGAATGTTCTTTGCTATCATTCAATCGCTATATCTCATCTTTTCATCACAATATTCAAAAATATACTCCAGCATATATTGCCCTCCAAAACGTTCATATGGCATTGATGTTCTACACTATACTTTACAGTATTTTCCTAGACATGATGTCCAGAGGCAGAGCCTTGATGGCTCATCCCAAAAGCCCCTTATGATGTTACTTGACAATCCAGCAGAAGCAAAATGAGCCCATTTACCAAACAAAACATGTGTTTAACACAATAGAGGTTCTCTTACATTAAAATAAATCAGGTATCAATAATATCAACAATTATTTTTAAAATTAGAATTATGGTCTTATATGAAAAACAGGCAGAAATGAACAGGCACACAATAGTTATGAAATAAAGAACACTCAAAAATTTGTCAACAAGAAATCCATTCAGTCCTCGGTTCAAAAGTGTCTTGGGATGAGTCTTATAATATGAAAGACACCAGCTGCTGTTGATGGCTGAGAGGTGCAGCTGCCCTCTCACTGCAGTGTACACTGCTCTTCGCAGCTGCCCTCTCACTGCAGTGCACACTTCTCTTCACGGCTGCCCTCTCACTGCAGTGCACACTGCTCTTCGCAGCTGCACTCTCACTGCAGTGCACACTTCTCTTTGCGACTGTACTTTCTGCGTCTCTGTTCCAGGCCTTGTTCTAGTCTCTCGTCCTCCTCCAGTGCCCTGTGGGCCAATTAGAGACAAGCACAAAACTGTGAAGGAACAGCAGTTGGAGGCTATTTGATCAGTACAGGTGAGCAGCACTTTTCTACAGTTTAAAATAGCTGCCATTTTAATTATTTTAGAAGCCCTTTCTGTAGTTCTTAGACACAGGCTGACCCCTATTGGTATGTGCTAGGAGCTCTTGACTTCCTTTATTCAAATCTGAGAATGATTTCAAGCTCTAATTTTATTTTATCCTGTTATTTCCAAAACTTTCAAGATTTTACAAAACAACACCCAGTGTAGACAGAAATGACATTTGTTTTAAAATAAAGTGGCTTCTCAATGCTAAAACAAATGCATTTTAATGCAGTTGAAATAGATTGTAATGTACAGGTATGACAAAGTATTAATGAGTATTTATTATGTATATTGATAAGTTGACAACTTCTTAATGTACAATCAGTGATGTCATTAAGATAACTGTTCAGTTTGTTACAGTCTCCTTTCTGCATGTCCGTCTAGAGTGATGATATATATGAATAATATTGAAGACTACTGCATAATTTTAGGAACATGAATAATTCTGACAGCATTGCATCATGAAGTGTATAAAAATGCTACACAGTCCAAAAAAGGATTACATTTATGTGCTGAGTGCATGCAAAAATTGTGGCAAACAGCAATATTTTTATTTAGCTGCAGTGGATCTGGACACTGACACAGGTCATTTTCATTTTAACCATCTGCTAATCGATAATCCATAATGTATGAAAGGAAATTGCAGTGAAGCTAGATGATCACACTGGAAAAAAATGAAGGAAAACAGCGGCTTACCGTCTCTCTTTGGCGTCCATGTCCTGGACCAGCTTGTCTCTCTGGTTGACAAGTGACACCAGCTCCTGCAGCAGCAGCTGCTCCCTGTGCTGCTGGGCCTCTGTCTTTAGCCCCTCTGGGGCAGGGAGAGTGAAAGTGAGACCGGGTCTGGCAGGGTATGCATTCCATAGTAAAGTCTTACTTTCAATGGGGTATTACACTACTTTTGCACTTCTGCGTATTTTACTGTTATCATTTTTATGCTTATAATACCTGTTTATTTCGATAAAGCACATTGAATGATCTCTGCAAGGGTTGTCAGAAGCATTTTGAATGTGGGGGGGGGGACACTGGCATAAAACTAATATTTTATGTTAAATGTGGGGGGCTCCAAATGAATAATTATGAAATGTGAGGGGGACACGTCCCCCTCAGATTTAACGGCGGCGACGCCCATGGACCTCTGTGCATGATAATGTGAACACACCCTTAATGTTTTTGAATTAATTAATGAACAAGAGCTAAAAACTATTATAGTTAACCACTTGTCCACTGGATCCAATCCCCACTAAGCTTCTTAAAGAATCCCTGGGTATTCTGGCAAGACCTTTAACTGCCATAATGAATGCATCGACCTATAACTGCCATAATGAATGCATCCCTGTTATCAGGTGATGTCCCTGACCAACTTAAAGTAGCAGTAATCAGGCCACTACTGAAGAAGCCAAGTTTGGATCCACAGGAGCTGAGCAATTACTGACCTATCTTTAACCTACCATTTTTGTCAAAAATTTTGGAGAAGATAGTTGCTGCTCAACTTCACTCATACTTGGAAAGACACAACATACTGGATTTTTTAAGTCGGGCCTCCACCCGGGACACAGGACTGAAGCTGTCTTAACTAAAGTCAAACTGACATAATGGCAACTGATGCTGACAGCGTGACTGTGCTAATGTTTCTGAACCTTAGTGTTGCTTTTGACATTCAACCATTCTATCCCATTACAAAGATGTATATTTGAGGTTGGGTTGTGTGGAACGGTGTTGAAGTGGTTTAAACCGTATTTGACTAATCGCTATCAATATGTTCAAGTGTCAGATACTTGTACTCCATTGTCAATGTCACCGGTCAAATATGGAGTACCACAGGGATCAGTGCTTGACCCTTTATTGATTAGGATACATAATGAGAAAACATAATGTTAACTATCACTCCTATGCCAATGACACTCAAATACACATTTCAGTTACGCCTAATGACACCACATATATTGTCACTTTAGCTAATTGCTTTAACGAAGTCAAGACCTGGATGCCTGAAAACTTTTTATCACTAAATGCTCAGAATTCCGAGGTTCTGTTGTTTGGAGGCAGGTCTGCAGATCGGAATTCTATAATCTCTGCACTCCACTCCAAAGGGCTGAACTTTTCCCTCAGCAGCTCAGCCCATAACCTAGGTGTCATCTAAGGCCCCGTTTACACTGCAGGTCTTGATGCCTAATTCCGATTTGTTGCCTATATCCGATTTTTTGGACCGTCTGTTTACACGGTCTTTTTAATTGTGACCCATATCCGATTCGTGTGTTTACACTTGCTATAATTTCACGCATGCTCAACGGGGGTTTTTGCACGACACCGTAGCCAAGACGGACGAACACGAAATTTGTTTTATGATAGCTTTGCGATGTATGCGAAGTTCGCCGAACAACATCACGATTTTGAGGCGAAGGAGGAGGAAAAGGGCCATCATTGCAGCCGAAATATCCTCGAAAACAGATTTGTTTCTGTAGGAACCTTTAATTTTATCCTGAACGGATTCTTCTCCCCACAGGGTGAGAAGGTAGGCTATTTCAGGCGCCGACCACTGCCCTACACTTTCCTCCTCCATGTTTCGTGTGTTTTTTTAATGTTACGCTTCCACACGTACTTCCCACGTACTTTTCACGTACGCTTCACGTACGCAGTTTAATGACGTACAGAACGCAATGCCTCAGAAAATCCGATCTGCCTGTTTACATTACAGTCGCATTGGCCCATATCTGATTTATATCTGATTTATTTCCACATATGAATGAGGCCTGAAACCGATCTCGAAATATCCGAATGCATGCGTTTTTTTCCCATTTACACTGTCACAGAACAGATCCGATCTGTGTCACATATGAGCAAAAAATCGGAATTAGGTCGCATTTAACAGACAGTGTAAACGGGGCCTTAGATACTGTTATGTATATTGTGTTAATGAATCTACTTTTTGTGGTGTATATATATTGTTAACCATTATGTGTGCGTATGCACACGGATATAAGTTCTCTGTGTAATACAACGAGTTCAATAAAAAAGCAAGGCATAGAAAGTGGTTACCTGCAGTGTTTCTCAATTTATTATAAGGTAGAATGTTGTAAAACACAACAACTGGCGACGAGAGTTTATGTGAACCCTTGTTTGCACCATACAATCAAACTAAAATTGATTTTGTACGGAGCCATCTCAAGAAAGCAACGGGGAGGAATGAGCATCGGAAAACAGGTGCATGCGCCGGAGGCGGTAGCAACCCAGGACACGCAGTGCAAAGAGGTGCTGCGAGTAAAACAAATTAAACATCCGAAAAAGTGAACAGACTAAAGCGGAAAATGTCCAGTTGTGTGGGGAAAATGGACAGTTTTGATAGTTTGGTGGAGGACTGGGCCACGTATGTTGTGAGACTAGAACAATACTGCTTGGCGAACAAGATTAATGACGGAAAGAAAGTTGCCGTGTTACTTAGCTTAATGGGAGCTAAAACATACAACTTGCTTCGCAGTCTTGCGGCACCAGCGAAACCAGCTGAGAAAACATTCAACCAAATAGTGGAAGTCTTGCAAAATCACTTGAACCCTAACTTAAACAAAGATGGAGACTGTAACGGAGTACGTAGCAGAACTGAGAAGGCTCACAGAGCACTCTGAATTTGGAGAATTCCATAATGAAAATACAGTGGTACCTCAGAACTCAAACTTAATCCATTCAGAACTCGGATTCGAATCCTAAAAAGTTTGAGTTCTGATCGAATTTTCCCCATAAGAAATAATGGAAAACCAATTAATTGGTTCCCGACCCAAAACAAATACACCTAAATATGTTTTTTTAGCATTTAAACAAAAAATTAACAGGATAAAACAAGAAGAGCATATACTAAATACATCTAAGCACATTTATCAAAACAGTAATTTGTAAAGTAAGAAAATAAATGTATCCAAACAATGTGTAAAGTTAAAAAAAAAAAACAATGACACCTTTTTCATAAACCCAGACACAGCACTACTACCTTAAGTCATACTAAGGGTTTATATTTAATGTAGGAACAAAAAAATGAGAAAAAAAATTGAGAGAGAGTGTATGCCATGCGGCCCATTGTTTATTTTTATTATTACTTTGTATTTGTTAATTTGTTTGTAAATCATCAAAGTTTTAGGTTGTAACATTTGTACAACTATTGTGTAACTTTTTGTTGAGCAATGACTACCAAAATGATATAAAGTATAGTGTATTACCTGATACAGTATCAGCACTATCAAAAACAAACGATGCTATCACAGTGAATGCGAAGCTGAGACTGAAGCATTACCCTTTGTTTCTGCTGAGAGATGTGCCGCGTGACTCATTTCCCCACGTGTACAAGTTATCTTAGGTCGGCGTTCACGATTCGACTTCTGAGATTCAAATTGAGTTCTAGGTCATTTTTGTCTAACTGGTTTGTTCGACTTTTAAGAAATTTGAGTTCTAATGAGTTTGAGTACTGAGGAACCACTGTATACAAAAACGACTCTTGACTGAGCATACATTAACCCTGCCCCGTGCTATAGAAATTGCAGTGTCAATGGAGACAGCCGCTAAGGATACTCTCGAGCTGCAGCAGAAGATCGTGACAGAGTGTAACGCACATAAATTGAAAGCGACACCTGCTACTGGTGTGGGAAAAAGTCACATAATGCTTTTGAGTACTGGTTTCAAGACAAAGTGTGTAGTCAATGTCAGAAACCAGGGCATATTCAGAAAATGTGTAAAACCCGCCCACGTGACAAAAACTTCGCAAAGAACAAACAGAAACATAAAAACGTACACGAAATGAATGCTAATGAATGCTACCACTTCAGACTCATCTGAAAACGAGCTAGCTTATTTTGATATCTATTCACTTAAAGAGACAGACAGAGGAATCTTGTGGGTGTCCCTTGAAGTGGAAGGTGCGCCTTTTAAGATGGAGCTGGACACAGGATCAACCCTGTCAATGATCTGCTATAAGGACCGTTTTGCATATTGCATCCTGGAGACAGCCCCTGTAATGTTAAAAACATATACTGGTGAGAAAATAGCGCCCTTGGGAACAATTAATGTAAATGTGAAATACACAGGGAAAACGCATAAGTTGCCACTTTATGTAATAATAAAGGGGGTGTACCACTGTTGGGACGTGAGTGGCTGAAACGGATACAGCTGGATTGGCAGTCAAATCAAAGCCATGCAAACCCTAGAAAAATCAAGCAACCAGTCCATAAATAAAAGTTTTAATGAGCTACTTTCACAGTATGCACAGGTTTTTCGGGATGGCATTGGCACATTTAAACATATGAAAGCCCAGATTGTATTATAAGGCCAGTGCCAAATGCCCTGCGCCCCAAAGTAGAAGCGGAATTGCAAAGACTAGAAAGGGAAGGCATACTGACAAAAGTGGAGTGGTCGGAATGGGCGACACCAATTGTGCCAGTCATAAAGAGTGATGGCACTGTGCGCATCTGTGGTGACTTCAAAGTGACAGTGAACCCAGTGTTAAAAACTGAACAATATCTCTTACCCCATATAGATGATATCTCTGCATCTCTGGGCAGAGGAGAAACATTTTCAAAAATTGACCTTGCACAAGCATACCTACAAATGGAAATAGAGGATGCATCCAGAAAGTATTTCACTATTGACAAGACTAAAGGCCTGTACCAGTATAACCGTTTGGTTTTTGGAGTGGCTTCAGCACCAGCCATATGGCAGAAGGCTATAGAACAAGCCTTAAAAGGCATTCCTGGCGCTCAGTGCTACCTGGATGACATTCTTGTAACAGGGGCTGATGACAGGGAGCATCCAGAGAATCTCGGAAAAGTCCTGAACAGATTAGCAGACTTTGGCTTGTGAGTTAATGAAAATAAGTGTGAATTTTTCAAAAACTCCATCAAGTATTGTGGACACTGAACTGATAAAGAGGGCAGTTGAAGCAGTCCTAAAAGCACCGAAACCCCAAAATGTAACTCAATTGCGGTCATTCTTGGGACTGGTCAATTATTATTACAAGTTCCTTCCAAATCTGTATTGCATCCTTTAAACAGTTTGTTGCGCAGTGGAGCCTACTCATCTCAACGTGACCAACTGTCTGTAAGTCAAGGTTACATTTTGTGGGGCACACGTGTTATAATTCCACCATCACTTCGCACCAAGGTTCTTGAGGTGTTACATGAAGGGCACTTAGGGGTGGTAAAGATGAAGAACTTCGCTCGCAGCTATGTCTGGTGGCCTGGCATTGATCACCAGCTGGAAGACCTCACAAAGATATGTAATGGGTGCCAACAGACTCAAAGGTGTCTGCACCACTTCACCCCTGAGATCTCGCCTGGACTTGATGAAGCCTGACCTATGTAGGCATGTACAACAGAAGCAGGCCACCTGGAATCAGAGTCAAAAGTCACGAACCCAGCGTACCTTTTGTGTGGGTCAGAGAGTTTTGGCTCGCGACTATTGTAACAATGGCCGGTCATGGCAGCAAGGTTTCATTGCCTTACAGACAGGACCATTGACTTATACTGTAGACATTGGGGATGATGTTGTCTGGCGTCGATATACAGATCAATTGTTAGACACTACGCCTTCTGACACCCACCAACAGGAAGAAATTGCACAGCCAACTTCATTGCAGGACATGGCTGTACCAGAGTGTGATGGTCAGGAATCCACAATCACCACAGATAACCAGGAGACAACTCCACCTGAGAGCCAGGACCCAGTTGGTAGCTCTAGCCCAGGGTTCTTCAACTCTGGACCTTCATTCCAAATCCAGGCCGTGTTTTCAGTCCCCCCAGGTAGTTGTTTAATAATTACTGATTCTGATTGGTCAGAGGTTTCACACCTGACTGACAGGTAAAGGAAGGCTGGAAAACCAGCAGTGCTCGGACCTCGAGGACCGTGAGTTGAATAACCTTGCTCTAGCCCAGCATGCACTGAATGTTACCCTAACAGAGTTAGGAAACCTCCTAAAAGATTTGAATGTTAAATGTTATATGTTATAGAAAAGAAAAAAAAAATTGTGGGAATATACAGTATATACACTCACCTAAAGGATTATTAGGAACACCATACTAATACGGTGTTTGACCCCCTTTCGCCTTCAGAACTGCCTTAATTCTACGTGGCATTGATTCAACAAGGTGCTGAAAGCATTCTTTAGAAATGTTGGCCCATATTGATAGGATAGCATCTTGCAGTTGATGGAGATTTGTGGGATGCACATCCAGGGCACGAAGCTCCCGTTCCACCACATCCCAAAGATGCTCTATTGGGTTGAGATCTGGTGACTGTGGGGGCCATTGTAGTACAGTGAACTCATTGTCATGTTCAAGAAACCAGTTTGAAATGATTCGAGCTTTGTGACATGGTGCATTATCCTGCTGGAAGTAGCCATCAGAGGATGGGTACATGGTGGTCATAAAGGGATAGACATGGTCAGAAACAATGCTCAGGTAGGCCGTGGCATTTAAACGATGCCCAATTGGCACTAAGGGGCCTAAAGTGTGCCAAGAAAACATCCCCCACACCATTACACCACCACCACCAGCCTGCACAGTGGTAACAAGGCATTTTTGCCCACAGGACTGCCGCATACTGGATGTTTTTCCCTTTGCACACCATTCTTTGTAAACCCTAGAAATGGTTGTGCGTGAAAATCCCAGTAACTGAGCTGATTGTGAAATACTCAGACCGGCCCGTCTGGCACCAACAACCATGCCACGCTCAAAATTGCTTAAATCACCTTTCTTTCCCATTCTGACATTCAGTTTGGAGTTCAGGAGATTGTCTTGACCAGGACCACACCCCTAAATGCATTGAAGCAACTCCCATGTGATTGGTTGATTAGATAATTGCATTAATGAGAAATTGAACAGGTGTTCCTAATAATCCTTTAGGTGAGTGTATATATATATATATTTTTTTTGATATAGCTTCAGTGCTGCGAGGGAGGAGTTCTTATGTATATTGTGTTAATGGATCTACTTTTTGTGGTGTATATATATTGTTAACCATTATCTGTGCGTATGCACATGGATAAAAGCAAGGCATAGAAAGTGGTTACCTCCAGTGTTTCTCAATTTATTATAAGGCAGAATGTTGTAAGACACAACAGACAGAGGCCACTCGTTTAAATCACATGTAAATGCAGTATCAAAGGCGTGCTTCTTATAGCTATGCCACATCGCCAAACTGCGACGATTTTTTACTATTCAATACACAAAGAAATTGATACATGCCCTTGTATACAGTAGGCTAAACTACTGTAATGCTGTGTTATCTGGGAGCACACACTGCACATTAAACACCTTGCAGCGTATTCAAAATGCAGCAGCTCGAATTATCACCAGGAGCAGGAAGTTTGACCACATGACCCCTGTTCTTAGCTCCCTGCATTGGCTGCATGTTAGGTTCAGGACTGACTTCAAAATTCTCCTACTTACATATAAGGCACTTAAAGGTCTAGCTCCTGCCTACCTGACAGAATTACTTCAAGTTTACAAGCTCCATCGTCCACTCAGATCACAGAATACAGGTTTCCTTGTCGTTCCACTCATAAATAAAGTGACAGTGGGTGGTACAGCATTCTGCTACAGAGCCCAAATACTGTGAAATGGTTTATCAGCTTATGTTTTGGATGCCGATTCGGTCTCAGTCCTAAAATATTGACTGAACACCTATTACTTCAGTTTAGCTTACCTAACACATAACACACAGTAACTATGGTTGGGCACCAGCTTCCTATCAGAAGGTGGGCACCATCTGAGCTGGAGTCCTGGTTCAGTCCCATGGAGGGGTGAAATCACGAATGAGACCTAAGAACTATCATCGAGGGTGCAGCCTTCACTGGTACCCTACACAGGCCAGCACGGAGAACAGACTTATTGATGGACTTTGACCACCCTACACAGGCCAACATGGATAATAGACTCATTGCTGGACTTTGTCTTGATCCTTAAGCACAGCTTACACCTAGCTTTTAGTAAGCATGTCCACTCTTTTCTGTGTTCAGTAATGTTAGTGCCCAGGGGGGTTGGGCAGCCAGTTGACCTTGGACCCTCAGAGGCATTTTTTCCCCTTACATGGGAGTTTTTGGTTCCTCTGCTCTGTTGTCATCTGGCTTTCTTTACTCATTTTCTTTACTTCCTTTTTCTCATCCTGTATTACTCTCTCTAACGATGTAATGTATCACAACACATCCATGTAAAGCCCCTTGGGAAAACTCTGTTGTGAAAGGCACTATATTAACATAAATTGAATTGAATAATGTGCTATATAAATAAACTTGCCGTGCCTCAACTTTTTTCAACTAGGGAAACAGAGAAGTTGTTTTTTAGGACAAACTAGGATATATGCCATAATAAGAGTGATTGTTATTTAAAGCATGCACTTACTGGTACGATTGCCCTGCTGACAATAGGGACTGTGGTTAGTGAACTTACCTTCTGTGGCCATGATGGCTCTCAGGTCTCGGTTCAGCAGCTCAAACCTCCTCTCAAGGTCCCGCTCCTCTTGCCTGGGTCAAACCAGATGGCATGGGTTAAACCCAGGACCAGACGGGTATACAAATGATGTAGTCATATCACCGTGACTACAAGCATTTTGTCATAATTCCTGCCAGTGTGAGCTGGTAGTATTTTAAATGTAAATACAGGCAAGTCCATTCAATGACCTTCCATAACCAATTATTCAACTCATGATTCCAGGAAGCACAGGTCACAAACAGTAGCATTCTCTGGATGGGAACTGATGTTACAAAGAGAAATTTACGAACAGTAAATTCTCTCAAACCACATATCTTTTTAGCGGGAGGAAATCAAATTACCTCTAGAGTGGAAATTGAACCCACAACACTGAACTACTGTACCAGGCAGTCATCTCTACTACTATATAGTGTTTTAATATAATTGCTTATTTTCAATACCTACATTCAAATTAAGTAAATGATTAAGATGATCCTGCTGGAAGATAATCAGCTGTTGTGATTGTTATTGCTGATATAAATAAGAAATCCTCATAATAGTATTATCAGCCACAGCAAATGAAGCTTCCAGGGGTTACAACTGAGATGACGAGACATAGGATCACATATCAGGAAAGGTGGACAGACAAACAGAAGAGGGGAAGGTCTCACAGAAGCTGCAGGTGATCCTGTCTCTGGATGAGGGCATTCTTCTTATTTACTAGAGTAAACCATTCCTGGATCAGCTTCTCCTCCTCGGCACGGTCGTTGCCTAAGGCAGGAGAACCACACTGTTGACCCAGATGCTGGGACTGACCCACTCTTCCAAAATGGAGTTTGCCTTTCAAGAGCCTGTATATTTCACTGTAATTTTCAAATAAAACTCTGTTCTGAGGTTTACACTCTACAAGATAATCACAATCATTCTCACCCTTGCTCACTCATAAGATGTTAGTGAGAAAATTCACAAAAATGACTGAGCCAAACAAGCAAACAAGAACTGATCACCAGAAGATATTCATTTTTGTGACAATAAGTGTAATCTGATTACACTGCTGCTGTTCATTTTATATATACATTTAGGTTGTTGTGGTTGTCATTAAAAATGCTCTTGAAATTCAGGTTCTGTGAAATTCATTCAGAAAATAATTTAAATAAGAATGAATCGTCAGGGTACCAGTAGACACTTTATGGTGAATTAACTAGAATGTGAAGTACTGCTTTGAATTTCAAAGTAAAGACGGACTCTATTAGGAGATAATGAGTTCTATCTGACTCGTTTATTTTGGGTAAATCTTTAACTTCCTATTTTGTTTTATAAATATCATCAATATAGTGGTACCTCGGTTCTCAAACTCATAAGAACTCGAATTTCTTAAAAGTCGAACCAACCAGTTAAAAAAATTTTTACCTAGAACTCGATTTGAATCTCAGAAGTCGAATGGTGAACACCGACCTAAGATAACTTGTACGCACGGGGAAATGAGTCATGCGGCACGTCTCTAAGCGGAAACAAAGGGTAACGCTTCAGTCTCAGCCTCGCATTTGCTGTGATAGCATCCTGCATGTTTACACTAGCTGAATACCTATATTTAGACAGTAAAAATACATTTAGACAATGACAGACAGTAACAGTAATTATTATATGATAAAATACATTAAAAAATAAAGATTTCTTATTAATTATTTTAATATTAATAATAAATCATTAATACATTTAATTATAATATTGCTGTGCCAAGCAGGGATGGAGTGGAGACAAAGGTGCAGACGTCAGGGTATTGGGGAATACGGGGTTTAATTACAGGTAAGGCAGGCAAAATGCAGAGGGACAATACAATGACCGGACTGGGGAAACAAACTGAAACTCAATCTGACTAAGTACAGAGGACTAATGACAACAACCAGAAACAGCTGATCACACGGGGATTCCACATGGGGTTAACGAGGGGGCGTGGCACACGGAAGGAGCGGACGATCGGGGCAGGACACATTGTTTCTTTTTTTTTTAACTTTACACATTGTTTGGATACATTTATTTTCTTACTTTACAAATTACTGTTTTGATAAATGTGCTTAGATGTGTTTAGTACAGTATATGCTCTTGTTTTATCTGGTTCATTTTGTGTTTAAATGCTAAGAAAAACATATTTAGGTGTAATTTTTGGGGGCCGGGAACCGATTCATTGGTTTTCCATTATTTCTTATGGGGAAAATTTGATCAGAACTCAAACTTTTTAGGATTCGATCCGGAGTTCTGAACGGATTAAGTTCGAGTTCTGAGGTACCACTGTATTGCAAAGTGAATTTCTCCAATATCATTGAGCCCTTGTTTCAAGGCTACAGTGCCCTCCATGTTTGGGTCAAAGACACATTTTTCCTTGATTTGCCCATGAGCTTCACAGTTCTAAATTTAAGAATATTTGCATACATTTCAGTTTCACCATGAAACTACTGGACTTTTTACACACTGTCCCTGCATTTCAGGGCATCATAATGTTTGGAACATTTGGCTTAGTGCAGGCATTAGACACCTTGGCTTGTTTTGATCACCTTTGGAGTCTGTAGTTTCCAGTTCAACATGAGGACCAGAGTTGTACCAATGAAAGAAGCTATTATGAGGCAGGGTTATGCACCATTCAGAACTGAATTGAGAATGAATGTGAAGTTCCAGTTTCTTCAGTACTTAAAAAGCCTGCAGAATTCTGGTAAAAGGTCTTATGGACATATGAGATCAAAATTAACCTGCATCAGGGTGATAACAAGAGGAAAGAGTGGAGATGAAAAGGAACTGGCCAAGATGCAAAGCATACCAGCTCATCTGCAAAACGTGGTGGGAGGGGTGTGATGCCCTGGGCATGTATGGCTGCCACAGGTACTGAAGCACTTGTGATGATGAAACTGCTGATGTCACAGTGAATTCTAAGGGGTACAGGAACCTCTTATCTGCCTACGTAAATGCCTTCAAATTTCATTCTATGGCAAGACAATGATCCCAAACATCATGCTAAAGCCACACGGGAGATTTTCAAAGCAAAAAAAATAGAAATTCTTGATTCCGGATTCAGACCCCCCACGACCCAGTAGGATAAGCTGGTTGGACAATGGATAGATGGATGGATGGATTCCGGATTCAGTCAGCCGACCTAAATCCTAAATGGAGCATTCCTTGCATATGCTGAAGAGGAAACTTAAAAGGGACAAGCCTCTCAAATAAGCAGGATCTGCTGGCCTGGCCTCTACTGCAGGGAAAATTCTCAGCACCTGCTCATGTCTATGAAACGCAAACTTGGAGCAGTCACTCTATGAAGGGGATATGCAGCAAAGTACTAAACACACCAAACTTTACGGTGCCCTGAAATGGAGGACTGTGAAAAACGTGCTGCGATTTCTACAAGGTGAAACAAAAATCAAAATCTAGAATGTTCACTTTAATCATATGTGAATTGTTTGATTAAAATTGTTTGATTACAATTTAAACAGTGAAGCACAGGAGCATGTGGTGTCTTGGCCTCAAACATTATGGAGGGCACTGTACTTTAAAAGTCCTTTTGAGCAACAAGTAATATCTCATTTTGTATGGAAAGAAATAAATATTTTGATCCATACTCCATACACTTATCTCCATGTGTAGTGGGTGCAGGGTTAATAGAATATTTTTCGAATAAAGACTGGCGAAATTTGTTTAGTAATTCCGCCTGAAATGCCGTGAAATGCGTTAAGCTACAGTACTACATTTCAGCTGCCTGCTCCTTGCAGCTTACCAGGCCCTTACCTTTCTCCATCAGTTGTCTCAGGGCCTTCTCTACCACATTGGCTCTGTTATCAATGTGCCTCTGTTCACTTTCTAGGGCTTGCATCTCACTCTGCACATACTGACTGATGTCCTGGGGACGCCATGCAAATCCAGTGTCAAACATAAGTGCACAAACATACAAAATATGTAAGAGATAAGTTACACACAAATATAGCACATAAGTATAAAATACTTATGACACACCAACAATATTACATTAAAATTCCAAAGGAACAAAAATAAATGTAATGTTTTCTAGGCAAGGGGTTCTCTATTCCAATCCTTGAGAATTTGAGTCATATAGGTTATGGAGTATATATTATTTAATTTTATAACTTCACACAAATATATTTTACGGAATTGCAATAATAAAGTAAAATATATTTCTTTTTAAATTATGGTTGAAAAAAATTTTGGTACACTGACTGTACTCTCATCCTCCTGAAGTCCACCCTCTTCCCCCATCACACCAGGCTCTGCAACTGCTAAGATTTCACACACATACATAAAACGTTAGACAGTGCCTTCACATTCCCTCTGTAACAGTGCAGCACAATACTTTATAATGCACAGGGGCCTGGAATTCTCAGACACACCAACAATATTACATTAAAATTCCAAAGGAACAAAAATAAATGTAATTTCTCTTTCAAATATAAAACAGTAGACAGCTGTCTCTGAAGAGACACTGACCAAAAATACACGTTATAAAAAATAACAAAAGAGAAATGAAATTAATTTAGTAGAAATTACTTTGAGTGTTTGCTTTTCTTGTTAAAATGAATCAAACCTACTTCTTACCTCAGCACTGACTTTCTATCTGGCTTTTTTCAGCTTTTTCAGCATGTACAGCCCATAGCACCTCAACCCAAACTGGGATTTCTCAGCAAAAACAGGTTGGAAGTCAGACTAAGTGTGTACCTGACTCGCCAGGCTCACTCGTACCAGAAGACCCACGTTTCAACTTGCTATCTCTCTGCATCTCAGAACCCTATGGGGAAGAGCGAGACAAACCTGTCTGATGGCCAGTAAAGATGATGTAAACAGTACAAGGGAAAAAGACAACCATGTGGTGAAACTGATACATCGATACACCAGACTCTCAGACTGCAAGTACATATCTGAGGTTTGAATGTCCCCATCTCCATGGAAATGGAAACCCAGCTAGATAAATAGCTGGACCTTGTTACCTTTTGAGCAGGGAATATGTGTTACCTCTGCACTCCTGTGGGGGGCACTCTGTTCAGGCACATCTGCATCCTCCATAGACAGACTCCTCTGCTGGGAACGTCGCTTCTTCACAAGGTCTGCATCTCGCACACGGATGAAGCTGGACCTGGAGGCTGCAGCGCGGCATCTGGGAGGGGCGACGGGGGGCAGTGCTGCCTCCTGTCCTTCCTGCTGACTTGTCGCCCTACCTTCCTCAGCTTTCAGGACACGCTTGTTTCTCGGAGGCGGGACCAAGTTCCCATTGAACTGAGTCGGTTCCTCCGGCAACTTGCCCTCAGTCTCCTGCAGGGTGGCCCCAGCCTGCAGCCTCTGGGCACAGTAGCGAAAAGCCTCATGTGTGTCAGTGCTGCTGGGGGGCCCCTCCACGCTGTAGCTGGACTGGCTGCTGTTGTGCTCGATCTGCACCACGCTGAGCTGCTGCCCAGTGAAGTGCGTGCGGATGAGGCTCAGGTAGGTCATCACGATCAGTCGGTCAGGCACAGCCCGCAGCATCATGTCCGAGGACGACAACAGCGGGGAAATGCCCAGGTCTGCAAATCCGCTGAATGCCTGAAAGGGAAGAGGAGGACTGAGGTGAACAATGAATGCTCTTATGGATCTGAATGTTAGACAATACATTCTTCAAGGTACATTTTTTTTTACCTCTGTATTCATATCCTTGATACAGCTTGCTGTATCACCACTGCACATATAATGCATATATGATTGGAATGAAATATTCCGGTATCATTAAATTTAAAAATATATACAGGAATTTGCATACATCAAGCTGGAGGCCATTCATTGTTTTTTCCCAGGGAGGTTAATCTTGTCACTATAGTCAGGGACAATGGAAACTGTGAAGATACTGTGTGGTGTGTACAGTTCACGTCAAATGGAAAGCGGGAGCTCACCATTCTGTTATTTTCTTTGATGTCATATGGGTCCAGCATTTCATAATTCCTAAGAATTCAGGAAGTGTTACACAAGGATATAATATTCATATTTCACACGAAGCAGTAATAAAAACCCCACATGTGTGATTCATGCTTTCCTCCCAAAAAGCCTCATGACACTCCTCAGTTACATTATATATAAGCTGCATACACTGATATTCAGCGATAAAAGAGAAGGAAAACAATCATCTGGTAAAAACGACCACATGGGGGTGTGGGGTACCTACACCCTGTCTGGGCAGAAGTGGTGCAGGATGGCACAGAAAGCCATGCCATTCCTCCAGGAGGTGCTGAAGTTGCTGATTTTCACACCCTTATAGCCCTGAGTGACCCCCTGGCACCACTGCAGCAGGGACTGGCTTGACTCCACCAATTCAGGATTAGCAGTGGACACCTTGGGAGGCAGGGGCTGACAGATATATAGTTTTAGGGTTACAGCAGAAAAGAAGCTTTAAGCAAAAAGAAAATTAAGAATTAAAACTGCTGACACTTCATCCACATTAGCCGTGTCCAGACAATGTGGATGGGGAGTGGGACATGCTACTATTACTCTTAAGGAGCATTTTGTTGTGATAAACGGCATTACACCACTAAGCAAACACAGCTTCAGGTTACCAGGGCACTGAGCTGCCTGCTACATCAACACCTCTTGTTGGGTGTCGGCAGGCCATTGTTTGTAAGTGGAGATGTGTAAACTGTTACAGTTTTTGCTAAAACTATGCGGGACCATTAGCTTCTCAGACAAAATAACACAGCAGTACATGCGACTGACTTTGAAACATGTGAGAAAGAGAATCCAGAGAGGCAAGAAACAAGGGAGCTACTACCTCACTGGCTGCTGGGGGCTGGACCCCCCCATGACTGCTGGTGGTTAGAGATGTGGTGTCATCAGACAAAGAGGCGCTAAGGCGTTTCTTCACACGGGGCATCGGAACAGGCAAGTCTTTAGGCGCCACCTGCTGTCTCATTGAGCTGAGGAGAGGATAGATCATTTCCAGAATAATGAAATGATTGAAGGGCAGCTCTGTTCCCGTTCCCCTATTTGCTACATCCAGTATCATCTATTAAGTAAAGCCGGTCATATCTGCTGGTCATATTATTAGTGATGGTTTCAAAAGTAGGCATTACAATACAATGGATACAGCACATAAGGTAAACAGTTGGACCAGTAATGGGCAAATTCAACTAAAAAATGAATATTAACACATTACATTAACTGTACCTTCATAGTGCCTTTATAACTCATTATTAGAACATTGAGTGCAGCTTCATAATGCATTCATAAGCAGCATGTGATGCATTACATTAATGCATTATGAAGGTGCATTAATGTAAAGTGTCACCAAATGAACTATAAACTTACTACATTATGTTTCTAGTCCAGAGCCAAGTGATTAACCCCTGAAAACATTCTAGAATCCATATTACCCTCAACCATACTGACTAAACTAATTTTCATCAAAATGGAACTATGAAATGTAAAAAAAGATTATTTTATAAACATTGAATGTAGTTTGTGGAAGTCATAAAACAATGTCAAATTAGAATATTGAACCAATAATTATCCATAATTAACTTATCCATATATTTTATGTTCTACATATTGTACTTCCCCTCTTTGATCAAGATATTGAGATTTACCAAACGTGCTGGAGGAACCGGACTGGGTGCTGGTAATCCTGAGAAGCTATGCCCTTCTCCATTCAAGGCCATTCCTGAATGTATAGCATGCTGTGTGCTCTGCTCTGCCTGTACAGCACACAGTATGCTCTGCTCTGCCTATAGAGCATGCAGTGTGCTCTACTCTGCTGTACAGTATGCACTGTGCTCTGCTCTGCCTATATAGCATGCACTGTGCTCTGCTCTGCCTATATAGCACGTACTGTGCTCTTTTCTGCCTGTATAGCATTTTCTGCTGATACACCAGATAGGACACATTGCAAGTTTCCACCTGAGGTGTGAATGACCCTGGATGCATGAATAACCCAGCTTGGTCCTGTTTTGCAGAACTTTCACACCCTGCAGACATAAAGTATACTCTACCCGGGAAGCCTCAGATGTGGGACAAACAGCAGAAGCAGTCCCCTCTTCTGGTCAAGATTGAATTAATTTGGCAAAGAATTCACCAAAATTATTAAATCATATATTTATGGTATTACCACTGCAACATTTAGTAATTCCCCTTTCAGTTATGCCTGCCTATGTGGTAACTAGCTAAACAAGGCTATTCATATGTGATCTGTACCACCTTTGATGATGCTGGTTCCATTAAGACAAGATCTCTCATTTGCAGCATGTGCATATTGGTATTTATGGTTTATTTATTGAAAAAAGCCACAAAAACATTTAGAAGCTGTTCATACATTGAAAATCCACTATGCAAGCCACATGAATTGCTGTTGTTTTGCAGAAATGCATACGTTGTGTCATTCCATGCTCTCAGATGTTTAGAAAATAACTATGAAAGTGTATACTGGACTGTATTATTTGTAACCCACAGAAGACAATCCACATATATGTACTGTACCATGATCCACAAATATTTCACTATTCACAAACATGTATTATTAAAATTTGTGTTGTATAAAATCATATCCACAAAAATATAGAGTGATTTGTACACGTGAAACATATTTTGCATATTTGTGGATTATGAAACTAAATGGCAAAGTGGAGATTGATTAAAAACTAACCCACAGAACACTCACCGCGTGTCCAGACATGATGACGCAGACAGTAAGGCCCCCACCTCCTGCGATGCATCCTCCTTTCCTAATACTTCCTCAAAATCCTGCTTTTGGCCTTTTTCATCGTTTAAAGCTGGGGATTTTTCATCTAGGGCAGTATCATCATTGTTTGCATCCTCACGTTTCTTAAAGGATATTTCTTGTTTGACTGCTTCTGACAAAGGTGGCCTTTTCTCCAGGCATGGCTGACCTTCATCACCACTGAATGCATCCTCGCTTTCTCGAGGTGATGATGGAGATGGAGATTGATCTTTCACCTGGTTCATTTCACTTTCTACCAAGCAGCGGCTGCATGGTTCAGCACTATTTGGGAACTCCATTTTCCCATCATTAGCCACCTCAATGGTATGAGGCTCCTCCACATCTTGTGCCTTTTGGCTGATAATGAAGGGCTCCTGTTTTGAACTTAAGGACGATGGCTCACTCGCTTCTGTGTTCCTAGCAGTGACCATGGTACTATCCAAATGGCCAGTAACTGATGTTGGATGAGCCGGTTGCAACATAGCAGCCACTCTCTCATAACTGAGAGACAAAAACTTAAATAAACCATCAGGGGACAACTCACATGAGCATAGGAACCACATAAAGTTATGCCCACTGTTTATATACAAATATGCAGGCCAATTATTTAAGAAAGTCAACAAATTCTGTATTCCTTGTTCAACAAACTGAAATGCAGAGAACATGCAAATCTTGAATCATTGCCGCACATACAAAGTTTTTAACGGATGCTGTTTCATGACAGTTACTGCTGAAAGGAGACACAGCCACAGATAAACTTTATTGCAGATTCTCTGGCAGTGGAAGCTGGCGCAGAGCAGACATGCGAGCAGTCAGCTGCATTCCTGACACTCACTCTCTCGGAAAGGCGCTAACTACTGTCTTTGCCAGCCCTGCTGTAGGTTCCTTGTGGTTTGTCCCATTGCTTTCTTCCACCAAAATCTCCCAGCCTAAATAATATTCTGACTGTTTGTCATGGTCCTTTTCTTTCTCAGAAACCAGTTGCTGACCCTCATCTTGGACTGTTCTAGAAATGAGTGAAGAAGACTGAGGCTGATTGTTTCCTTCTTTTATAAGGACATCCACATGCTTTGTGTTACCTACTGCAAAGTCTTGTTCCTTCACATGAATTCTATGCTTGAACAAAACAATCGATTTTAAAATAATCAAGGAATTTGGGTAAAGCACAGAGAACAGAGCAGGAGATACTAACAGATAAGACACCATCCATCCATCCATCCAAAATCTGAACACCCCCTGGTAAGTTTTCCATAGGATCAAGGTTGCCAGGGACACTAACTTCAAGGTGAGGATGGTGAATCATTTATGACTTAAGTACTAGGATCACAAAGTATCCCTACCTGCAATAATTTAAATCAATCATGCTGTACAGAGATGAACCTGACAAACATTAATTTTTAGTAAAAAGCAGAAACCTGAAACAGGGGCATTAATGTGGAACATTAAGGAAATGTAAAAATTATGAAAATAATACATATATTTCTTTAGTCATAAACTAATGAGTTACAGTTCATTCAGTTTCAACTGTGTTACAACTGTGTTAATTTATTTTACTTATTATTGTTACGCCCAGCTCGTCCGATCCTCGTGTGTGCCACGCCCCCCTCATTACCTCGTGTGGCTACCCGATTGTCATCAGCTGTTCCTTGTGCTTTCCTATCCGTCTGGTGTATTTAGTCGGCGTCTGTACCTGTATTCCCTAGTACTATCATTGACGTTGTCTGACGTAGTGCCTGGTCCTGTCCCTGCCTGCCTGTCTGTAAGTAATAAACCTCGTTTGCCTGTCAGTTCATCTCAGCTTGCCTGCTTTTCTGCTCGCCTGCACCACATAACATAACAATTATCTATTTTATTTTATATTTTATTTTAATTTCATTTTGCCTCATATAAATACTGCATATTTGAAAGGATGTCCCTCTATAAAACACTTATTTGATAGTGAGTTAGTATGAATTACTTTTATTACAATGCGATTTTTATTCATTTAAATATAAGCACTGCACCAAGCACTGCACCAAGGCAAGGTGCACTCTCAATGGGATGCCAATCCATCATAAGCCACATACACAGGCAATATAGAGACAGGACTTCAGCTAACTGCATGTTTTTGGACTGCTGGAGAAACTACAGTACCCAGAGAAAAGCTGCACAAGCATTTGGAAGTGTTCCTGAGCCCATGCAGTGATTCCCATTATAGAATATAGTGGAAATATATGTATGCAAGTATAGAGAGAGAGAGAGAGAGAGAGAGAGAGAGAGAATAGATGGACAAAGGCATGCTTGCTAAGCACTGATCACTGTCATTCCAGGTCATGCTGAGAAACTTACCCCCCATCCACTTTGCTTTTTGCTGCCTCCCTTCTACCAACTTTCATTTCCTCATTATCCCTTTCCAGCATAATTAATTTAATTTCACCAACAGGATGAAACGGAAGACTGGAGTCACTGGACAAAGTTAGATGCATGTTGGGTTTGCTGCCGCTACTGTCATTTGCTTCTGCGTTAGCCAAAGGGGCGCTAACAAGCTGCATGCCTGACACAGGTGTGAGTATTTCACCATCAACATGGGTAGTGTCATTCGAGAGGATGTGAGGCTGACGGGATAGAAATTCCTTAGAGATTCCTTGGATCAGTGCATTCTCTGACTTTGGCCACTGTGCTGATGGAAAGCCAGCAATTTTGGAAACACTTGGACAAGATGGTGCCAGAGCAAACATACCGCGGAAATCTTTATCCTCATGATACTGATCTTGAAATGGAGAAGGAAGCAGTAGCTTCCTCTTTGGCCGTGTCTTCCACAGTCTGTTGATTTCCAACCATTCCCGTACCAAAATGTTTTCTTTGATGGATGTGTGTGCTGAAGGAAAACCAAGAACTGTGGGACTTCGTGGGCAGCATGGCAGAAGATTCACCATATTTGGAATCTTTCCTATGGAAGACTCTTCTGCTCGGGGTCTTGGTATTGATGGAAAACCTGGAATACTTACTGTTTCTGAACAACATGGCACCAAAGCCACCATACTCCACCCTGTCATATCTTTTGATTCACTGGTGATTACTGGTGATTTCCCCAGTGCCTGAGACAGTTCTGAATTTACTTTCAGTGGTCTCTCCCACAATGGTTTCTTTACCACCTGCCAGGCTGCCTCCTTACCATCCATTTCACTTAGTACATTTATTGATGGGAACCCCGGGATTTTGGAAAATCTTGAGCATGTTGGCCATAGAGCAACCATACTGTCAGGTCTAAAGAAGAGTGATACCGAAGTCAGAGATGAGGCAAACATCATACTCAACAAACTTAGATATTATTCATGCCTTAATGGTACTCATACTATAAAACACAAGATGTGTTCACATACAAAAGACGACCGGCAATTTATTAACGTGACGCAACAACAAGAGATTGCCTTCCTAACGTAATTTTGATTCAATATCATGATGTCAGTACTATTTACGCAAGCTCTTATAAAGTTTGTTCACTTCTATTGTTAATTATAAATTGGATGACAAAAACATTAAGCTAATACTGTGTAATTAATAAATCTGACTCATATGCAAATGATGATTCAGTCCTACAAAGGCAGCCTTAGCACCGCAATGTACAGAAAGGCAACCCTGGAGTCCCTTGAAGTCTATACCACAGTACAGATTTCACCCAAATGCATACATCCTGCAGACCCACATCATACAGGAAGGCACATATCAGAGAGTGGTTTCCCCACACACTTACATGCTATCCTTGTGTGACTTCTCTCGCTTCACTGTGTACGGAGTGCACTCTTCCTGCTTCACAATACTGACAGGGAGGTCTATCAAGCAAAACTGGACCTTGGGGTCAAGAGCAGTAGGTGCAGGAGAAAATGTGTGGCGGGGGATTTCTTGGCTTCTCAGAGTAATGTCTGTATATTTATCTGTCAACAGTGAAACAGACCCTGAAGTGGGAAGATCACCCATGGGCCTGATGAAGATAGCAGGACAGAGAAGAAGTCAAGGGAGAGAAACGAGACACCATGTATATGGATGAGGAAAAGCAGACCTACATGCTGCTGTTAGTCAGGGCGGGAGGGCAGGTGGGCACCATGCTCTCACTCACCTCTGTCTAACTGCCAAAAGCACTGGCAGACCCATGGGCACCGAGTGCCACATTCTGCAGTGCAAGAGCCTAAAATGAGGGTCAAAGGAAGAGATGAGTGAAAACAATGCGGCTAATACTGATTTCAAACATCAAAGCCATGCTGTATAAGAGCTGTGTCACAACGCATCCACTCACCCCCTTTCTAGAGTGTCACATTCTGGCTCCTTCTGCTCTACAAAAAGGTCAGCTTCTTCTTTGTTTAATTCAAATTGAGTGCTTGTGTACAAAGCTGTTTTTTCATTCTTGACACTCCAGGACGTAACATCACTAATTGTATTCTCATGAACATTAGCCTCATCCAAGTCATCAAAAATTTCTACCTGACTGTCAAAGGTTTTCTCTTCCCACAAATGTCCTTTGCTTGTTTCAGATTGTCCTTTAAATGCTGAACACTGGGATCGGCTGTTTGGTGAATGAGCAGATGGGAAACCAGGGATACGAGCCTCTCTTGGGCAAGTAGGCAACAAAGCCACCGTAAGTCTCATAATTTCTTTCTCCTCTGATCCAAAAAGTGCTGAACATGTACTTAAGCACCTTGCCTGATTTGTCTTCAGGGGCTTCCTGCTCAAAGGCTCTTTAAGCAATGACCAATCTTCTGCTTCAAACTTAGTTAACTGCAATGAAGGGAAGCCAGGAATCTTTGAAATCCTTGGACAATATGGCACTAGAGTAGTCATGGAATACCTGTTCATATCAGTGGTGCCCTCCATGCACAGCAGCCTTGGTACAGATGGAAAACCTGGAACACTTGCCGATGCTGGACAAGATGGCACAAGGGCCACCATCATATTCATCATTTCTTTGTCTTTGATCACTTCGTAGAGGAATAGTGGAGACACTATTATCGGCTTTGGCTTCTCCTTATTTGGCTTCTCAAGCAGTGACTTTTTAGCTATAAACCATTCTTTTTCTTGGATGTTGGTATTAACAGTCTTTAAGGAAGGAAAGCCCGGAATTTTAGAAAGTCTTGAATAAGAAGGAAGAAAATTAATCATACTTGGAACCTTTTCTAGTGCTTTGGGCCTTGGAGCGGATGGGAACCCAGGAATTCTGGCTGCACTTGGGCAACATGGTGCTAAGTCAGTCATATGTTTCAAACTTTCTTTATCAAGTGTCATCTCAGCTAAAGAGGAAAACAAGGCAAACTTAATTCTTTCCTTTTTTGGCTTCTCCCCTGTATTTCCAGTAGGCCATATTTGTTCTTCATACATGTCTGATTTCATTTGTTTGGATGGAAAGCCAGGAATCGAGGATGATCTTGGACAAGATGGTAAAAGAGCCAACATTTTTACCTTTTCTTCTCCAAAGGCTTCATTTGATTTGGGTAACTGTGTACAGGGAAAACCAGGAATACGGGCGACTTTTGGGCATGCAGGTAAGAGCGCTGCCATCGACAGAATCATTTCCTTGTTTCCATAAGTTTTGTCTTTTCCTTGAGAAGACGAGAGACTTGGCATTCGTCTTGACTTCCGCATTTCCCACAATGGCCTCTTGTGCATATGCCATCTTTCAATTTGAATATCATGGGAACTGACTGGCTGTCTTGAAGGGAAGCCAGGAATACTTGCAATTCTTGGACAAGACGGAAGAAGACTTACCATATTTGGAGTCTTCTCCATCTGGACCACAGGTGCTTTAAGTTGCTGTGCTGATGGAAAGCCAGGAATTCTGGCTAATCTAGGGCAAGATGGACGCAGGGCCACCATTTTCTTCACAACATCTGTGTCATTGTACTTTTTATCCAAGCTTTGGCAAGGAAGTTTGGTATGCACTGGATTCTCTTTCAACATCGGTGTCCAAAAAAGCTTTGTTTCCACTGACCGCTCTGCGAACAGGGTCTTATCTCTGTTAGCTATCTGTGATGGAAAACCAGGACTTCTGGCAATTCTTGGACAAGATGGCTGAAGAGCAAGCATGCTCTCCGAGCTATGGGACAGGGGCACTATGGTCAGAGATCAAAGGTCAAGCACAGTTTAACCTCATACATTCTGTGTGACAGCCATTTACAGTAAAATCCAAGATTATAAGACAGAAAATTAGTTGCAAATATATCTAAATAAGCTAAAGAGCAGCAAAAAATTTGTTAAAACGGAATAACAGATGCCAGTTAATGGAAACATCAAGGACACCCAAATACAATGCCACACTATATTTTAAAGTCCGTCAGTTTATTAGACTCACCATAGCAAATAATTCTGGAAGACAGTGATGATACGTGCCATGGCAAAACAACTTCTCATCTCATGATGCTGACATAGCATTCATGCATTAATATTGTATAGATAGTAGTTTACAATCTTAGTTATTTTCCTCAGCTCCAACATTCAGAGATCAGGAGGATAAAGCTGCATGTACCAAGGAGAACAGACTGTGTAGCATGAGGCATATTGCCTTTCCCAATATCTGTCTTACTCTCCAGGGGAAGACATGGTCACAGAGTGCAATAATGCAACCTACAAGTCACCGCTGAGGTTAATCTGACAGCAAACATGAACAATCATCACATGTTTAAAGCTAATTTTTAGACACCATTAATCTAATAATCCTTTTGAGATAATCAATAAACACTAAAATCTATTCACCATTTCTGAAGGAGGATTGTTCTGATGAGATCCAAGGGATGCAACTTACAGTCATGCAGTCAACAAGACTCTGCTATATCAGGCAATTTTGCACCTGTCACCAGAAGATATGGTACAATAACACAAATTATCGGGCTTGTTTATTGAGTTGTTGTAAGATGAAGTCAACAACATATATACTAAGATGCGCCCCCCCCCCCAAAAAAAGTGCAGATTTTTTTCCCAGCACCATTAAATGTTGCCCCCCCATGTGGTACCCACATTTATAAGAAAAAAGCATGATCCCTGTACAAATCAGGGCATCATAATAACATTTCCATTCACCACATCTGTGTTGTACTTTGGGTTGCACAATACTGGAAAAAGTTCAAATATCACAATGTGATTTTTTTGGTGATATTGCAGTATTAATAAAGCAAAATATAAGATATATGAGATAAACTATAACCAAACAGAACTCATTATTATCTACCAATAGAGTCAAACAAGTTGGTGGTGTTGCCACAAGTTGTGCCAACACATGACTTGCTTTTCCTCAATATTGTCTCTTTGGAATCCAAAATATTTTCTATAGAGTGGAAGGCTAATGTCTCTTAGAGACTATTTGTTGTCCAGTTTTTTCCACCTGACTCATTTTTGTTAAATTTCTCACAAATGCACAACATGAGTGTCTATGAGTGAGTCTGACAGTAAGGTGAAAAATGATTAAGCTTGACTTGGGGAATGCATGCAAAGCTCATGCAACAGGAGTGGCGGTACACTTTACATTGAATTTTACATGTATTAGATTACAATCATTCATTTAACAATGGGACAATTTAATGGGTAGCCCCCCCCACTTGGCAAATTGAATCACCCAGATTTCAAAATAGCAGAACTGTACTGTATTACAAAATAACGATGCTTTGTAAATACCATATACTGGGGTATAATGTTGGCATAGTATGAAAGTACAAAAAATTTTATGCCGCCCAAGTGTCAACCCAGCTGATTATCGCAATCTTTACGATGTGACAACTGCATGCGCATGTCATGCAAAGGCAATATTAATATCTCACATCACCCAGCCCTAGTTATATTTATTCATTGATGCATATCATTCTCACACGCTGTTCTCATATAGAAATGCTTCCAAACTCTGGATGCTTCATGAAACACCACAATTAAGCATGTTGTTACAATACTGGAGTGAGAAGCAAAAATATTGGGACAATGAACTAAAATGGGTTATTTTTGTTATGTAGTCAAAAAATTGTGTTCCAGGTTAAAAAATAAACATGAGGATAAACCACAGAGTGTCTAGACAATGCTTTCCATACAATATTAACAATAAATTAACAATAAGTAAAATATGTCACTTGCTGTGTTTACTCTTCCAGTTTGGGTTGAGCACAAGTACAGGTGACAGGTGACTGGTGGCTTAACATGTTACCTTAATGGTGAAAAGAGCTGTGAATGTGTCTGGTTGTTTAAACACTGAATAAGGTGCTCTGTACTTCAGTCTGTTAGTTATCATGGATATTTAGATGCAGTATGTTTATTTGTTGGCATGTTGTGTTACCTCTTCACAAGACAAAGCAATACAAAATAAACTAAAAATGTGATCAAAATATTTTTATTTGATATGGATATTGTACTTATCAATGGTTAAATAGTATTTGATTTTTTTTTTTATGAAATGAAAATTAAACTTAAAGATGCCTCAAAATGGTTTATCACTGCAAGTAATATTCTTGCTTATTCATTTGTAATGCCCCTGTGAAAATGCATTAAAATATCAAGCTATTTACTTAATGTTTCTTACACATGTCCTGCCTATAGGAGAATCTAGCTAGTACAGGTACATCTCAAATAATTAGAATATCGTGAAAAAGTTCAATATTTCTTGGTTTTATTATCTGTAAGCCATAATCATCGAAATTCTAAGAAATAAAGGCTTGACATATTTCACTCTATGTGTAATGAATCTATATATGAATTTCACTTTCTGAAAGGAATGTCAAGAAATATTGAACTTTTTGCACGATATTCTAATTTTTTTAGATGTACCTGTAAGTGAAGTTTTGGTAGCAGTATGGTAAGCAAAAAAAGTCTACTGTAAATACAAAAAACATAGTACAGAAATCTAAGCATCATGTAGGAATATCTCATTCACCAAAGGAATCAGAGCGACTAATGTCATGAGGCAGAACCGTGCTCCAGCAAGATGCGATTTTTATTCCTTTCAAGTGTTCTGAGCTTCTGATTGTGTCTTGCCCTGAATAAACCCAGTGCTTTGCTCTATTCCTGGGATTTCCCACCTGTTTTTCCTGCCCTGTAACCTGGAAGTGTGACGCTGGGCTCCACCAGACTCCTTCTATATTTAAACCCTGGATGTTTCTAGTCAGTAGGAGTTTGATCTGAGGTCTACAATTGATGCGAAGATTACAAATGAGATGACTAGACAGTTGACCATGATGGAAAAGCAAGCAGTTTTGAAAATGAGATTACAGAAAACACCAATCAGAACAACTGGGCATTCCAAAATCAACAGTTCAGATATTTTGAAAAACAAAGAAACTATTGTGGATGTAAGCAATTTGCAATGATCAGGTTGTCCCAAGGATGATCACAACAGCTGATGACAATAATATCGCAATGAAGAAAAACCCAAAAAAAACATCCAAAGAAATAATAGATGGTCTACAGAGTGCTGGACTGAACATGTCAGTTTTCACCACTCGCAGAATAATTCAAGCAACATTATTTTGCGTCACTGTATACAGTGTACATGGCTTGTGCGACAAAAAAAGCCTCACATTACTTGAATAAATTTGCCAAATCATTTCCCAAAATTAAAAGAAGACATTCTGTACATAAATTTAATGAAAACATAATAAAATTAAGCAATTTTAGTATACTTTCCCAATATTTTGGTATGCTTCTCACTATATTTGCAACACAAAAGCTATTTCAAACACTTCGGTACACCAACAGCAACTGACTAGTGGTGCAACATCAGTCAGTTGGCTGTTTTGGCGGAGACCCCTGGCTTATCATTCAGTTTATTTAGAAGTTATTGCATTTGCTTACATGTAAAACCTGGAATCATAAGTTGTGTCCCAATTCAGGGGCTGCATCCTTCCAAAGACGCGGTCAGCATAAAGCCTTTGCAGGCCGCGTCCTAAAAATTTGTGCAATGAATGTTTCATCATTTGAGTGGATCTTTTGCAGCTCAGAAAAAAACGCATCTCTAGGTTGCATTTGAAGGAGCCTTCGAAATGTGACAGCCTTGTCATGCCACTGTGACACATTCAGTCTTAGAATGCAGCCTTATAAGGCTGCAGCCCCTGAATTGGGACCCAGCTTTAATTTAGAGGAATGGGAAACATGAGCTATTCGCTATAGCACTTACCCTGTTGTCAGCTTTGCTGCTGGCGACAGCTTAGCGTCCCGCCTCCTCTCACTGTGGGCCTTAAAAGGCTTGGCCTGCCTCTCTGTGGAAGGTGGAATAGCACACAGTACAGTCTTGTTATGCTCTAGGTATCCCAGAGGTCTCTGCAACCACTGATCCCCCCAAGCTATCAATGGTCATTTAAAGTGCAATAATTCTTCATTTAGACATTTTTACTTATTTTGGCAGAAAATAAGTAGGCCTACTTATAAGGCAGAAAAAATGCACCTGCTCACCATTAGATGTAGAAATATACAAATCATCTTCTTCTATCAAAGCACCCAACTGCCTTTGAACTTCTGTGGAGAATATCACCAGAAGTGGTTAATTGTGAGCAATGTCAGCAACAGTCTGTGAGACACACAGACTTCTGTATTTTCAGTAAAACCTGCTCATAGCTTTAGGTTAGCATGCACGCATATATACATACATATGTAATGGAATGGCCTGATCCTTCAAACAGCAAATAATATGGCCAGAACTGAATAAATACGGAAGACAGATAAGGTCTAGATGTTCAGTTACTGTTTGGTTAAGTACTGGAACAGTTAAGAGGAGAGATCTAAGTGACTTTGAATGGGGTGTGATTGCCAGACATGGTGATTACAGCATCTCAGAAACAGCCACCCCTCAGGGATTTCAACACATTGTAGTACAGTATATGTCATTTACAGAGAATGCACAGTGCTGGTGTGATAAATAAAACATCCAGGCAATGGCATTTAGGTGGCTAAAAACACCTTGTTTGAGGGCAATGTGTGGCTCAGTGGGCAAAGTGTTTATGTCTGTGACCAGAAGGTTGCTGGTTCGAGCCCTGTGGAGGAGCCTGGGCCTTTGAGTGAGGCCCTGAGCTCCCTGAGTGGCTGGCCTTTGCGGCCAGCCTGCTCTCACCTACAGAGAGCAAGCTGGGGAGGCATAAAGGGAATTCCCCACAGGGATCAATAAAGTAACAATTAATATTGTCAGACTCTTTAGAGACATATAAAAATGACACAGTACAATAGTGCAGTGCAGAATAGCTTCTCTCAACACAGAAATCATCTAAACTTAATACGATTCTGGATTCTAGAGGTAAAAGTGGGTTACCATAGTGGGTTAAAATGGGTACCATAGTGGCCAGTCAATATGGATAATTATAACCATATAATTCAAGTTATTATTTCTTCAAGGCGGAATTTTTGCTTAAAATTCCCTTACAATTCCCAGTAAACAGATTCAACCCATGAAAATTCCGACAAATTGAATTATCTGCAAACTGAAATTTACTTTTAATAAATACAATATTTTTTTGCCACAGGGCCTAATCCAGTATGTCTTTTTTAAATTATTGTTTAAATTTTATATCACTATAAGTCGATATATTGTTTATGTCACCTAGCCCTAGTGATGATGATGATAATTATTATTATTCAGCTAATACATTTTAAAGCCTATACCTCACCAATGATAGATTTTAGTCCTGTAATAACAACCTTATATTACTTGAGTGTGGAGTACTATCAGAGGTTGGAGTACAGTCAAAGGATGGTGAGAAGGTGGAGTATTGTCAGTGGGCAGTGATGACAGTGTGTTCAAGTAGGCAATGGAGCCAAAGGCCATTAAACCCACAGAGTCAAAGGTGGTATGTGAGAGCATAGGGTGGGAATCATAGCTAGGCAGCCTGTTTCCTCACACTGGGAAAGGATTATTAACAACAATGGAAACTCCAGAAACAGCCAGAGAAGCCTGAAGAGCAAAGATGCTGTTATCCTCTGGCATGATTTCTAACCCTGTGAAAATTACCAGTTGGTGTTTCCGGGGAGGGGTAACTATCAGGCTGATGGGAGATGTCAGGTGGGGCAGGAAGTGTGATCAGACTACCTCTGGGCTCACAAACAGAAATGTCACAATGGCTTCCAGAGGAGAAGGCATGAGGCACAGCAGGACCACTGCCCAATGGAGCTACAACAATGGAGGTCAATGACAGAGAAACAGGACAAAAGATGCCAGAGCAGTAAAAAAAAAAAAAAAAAAAAAAGAATAAAGGGAAGAAATAATTACGCATCAAACTTATGAAGAAAGAAAAGAGGCTGTGTCTATACCATACCTGACTGGGAAAGAGCTGGAGAAGCAGATACTGTGGCAGAGAAAGAAGCAGAAAAAAGGGGAAGCATGGGAGTAGAACCAGAACCAGGAGAGGGAAGGGGAGCAGTAAAAGGAGACCCTGCAGGGGCAAGTGCAGAAGAAACTGCAGTAGAAACAGGAGGAGCAGGTATAGGATAAAATAGGGGAGGAGGTGATATAGGAGCAACAGGAGAAGGGGATACAGGAAAAGAATCAGGTGTTAATGCTGGAGAAACATCAAGTACAGAAGAAACTGCAGGAGGAGGTGCATGAGAAGCAGGAGAAGGAGCAGGTATAGGAGAAAATGGGGGAGGGGGTGATATAGGAAAAACAGGAGGAGGAAATACAGCAAAACAAGCAGGTGCTAATGCTGGAGAAACATTAGGTGCCGAAGAAACAGCAAGAAGAGGTGCAGGAGAAACAGGAGGAGCAGGCATATGAGAAACTGGGGGAGTAGATGATATAGGGGCAACAGGGGGAGGGAATACAGGAAAAGAATCTGGTGTTAATGCCGGAGAAACATCAGGTGCTGAAGAAACTGCAGGAGGAGGTGCAGGAGAAACAGGAGGAGCAGGCATATGAGAAACTGGGGGAGTAGATGATATAGGGGCAACAGGGGGAGGGAATACAGGAAAAGAATCTGGTGTTAATGCCGGAGAAACATCAGGTGCTGAAGAAACTGCAAGAGGAGGTGTGGGAGAAACAGGGGGAGGAGCAGGTATAGGACAGAATGGGGGAGGAACAGTTGCAGAAGAAACAGCTAGGAGTGGTGCAGGAGAAACAGGAGGAGCAGGCATAGGAGAAACTGGGGGAGTAGCTGATATAGGAGCAACAGGAGGAGTGGATACAGGAAAACAAGCAGGTGTTAATGCTGGAGAAACATCAGATGCCAAAGAAACTGCAGGAGGAGGTACAGGAGAAGCAGGAGGAGGAACAGGTATAGGAGTAAATGGGGGAGGAACTGATATAGGAGCAACAGGAGGAGGGAATACAGAAAAAGAATCAGGTGTTAATACCGGAGAAACATCACATGCAGGAGAAGCAGGAGGAGGAGCAGGTATAGAAAAAAATGGGGAAAGAGCTGATATAGGAGCAACAGGAGGAGATGCAGGTATAGAGGAAAACAGAGGAGGAGGTGGCATATGAGAAAAAGAAGGAGCATGTATAGGAGAAAATGGAGGGGGAATAGGTATAGCAGAAACAGGAGTATATATCGGAGAAACAGGAGGAGGTGTGGGTATAAGAGATATAGGAGGAGGAGTAGGTACAGAAGTAGAATTTGGGGTAAATGTTGGAGGAGAGGCAGTTATTGTAGCTTGAAGGGCAGATATTTGCAGAGGTGGAGGAGCAAGCTGTAGGCAGGGGCTGGGGGCTGAGACAGTGTCATTCATGGCCTCAGAGTCCTCCCTGGTCCTCTCAGTGTCAGCAGGGAGAACAGTGAAAAAGCAGGGAGGCAGACCAGACGACAGGGCTGTCTGGGTCTTGGGGGGGCGCCACTCACTTTGCCAGGGTGATGGGACTACAACAGCAGAGATTAGCCACAGAGAAAATGATGCCCCCAAATGACAGGGTGGCCAGAGAAGACGTGATGGAAAAAGACAAAAGAGATAGAAATTATATTTAGTGAAGGAAATGATACTTAATGAAGCAGCAAATTAAGGCCAAATGGCACAAAATACAACAAAGACAAAAGTTTAATATACCACAAGAAATTAATATATCAGGTATATATTTCCAGTCATTTAAAATGACCAAACAACATTTAATAAGCATATTTTGTCAGATTTCTCCATTCCATGAGCTTGATAGCTTAGCAAGTTAGAGATCACTCTCGGTATGCCGACAGACCCGCATTCAAGCTTGGGGAGTGAAAAACCAAGCCCACGATCAGAAGGTCACTGGTTTGAATCACATGGTCAGACAAGTAATTATATTACTTTTGGGCCCTTAACCCAAAATGTTCTGGGCTTTCTTAGCTGTCACTTTGCCTAAAGGTGTCCTGCAAATAAGTAAATGTTTCCTTCTGTAATCTAAGTGTCACAGCTGCACTGTTACAGTGCCTAAGCTGACACTCCTGACCTTGCGGAGGAGCTGCACTGTAGTGATGCAGGAGGCCGTGCATTTGGGGTGACGCCCCGCTATGCGACACACACGACTCACAGCCGGCCTGGTACCTGCATGCAGGGCAGTGGGCAGGCTGGCGGGCTTCGTGAGGACGCCGGCAGGCTCAGAGAGCATGGCCTTGCCCATCCTAGGCTGGCGTGCCCCTGGGGGGGAGGAACCATCAGAACCATCAGGGGCAGGGGGGACGTGATTGCCAGGAGCACCATGCCTTCTCAAGGCATTAGCACGTGCCACAGATCTGACAGCTGGGTTTCAGATGAAGTAGAGGAAGGAGATGTTAAAAGCAATGGAAGTTTAGATGAGGTGCTTTATTTCAGGTGAACTGTTCCCTGTTCACTACGAGCGGCATTGTGTTCATACTGATGTGTAAATCGGTCCTTACATGTGCACGCTCACTCCTCATTCGCCGTACCTTTACAGAGAACACTGGGGGGTGGAGGGAGATGGACAGTGCAGGAGCTGGAGGTGGAGGAGGACAGGGATGGAACAGGCCTTGGCCGGAAAGTGGTGAAGGTTAAAGGGTCCTGAGCTGGGGGGCCAGAGTCCTCAGCAGGATTACTCAGGACACCATGAGAGTCCCGTGTTACAGACATGGGGACTGCGTGACAGGGACAAGGACAAAGACAGGCAGAGAATGGAAGACATACGAGGTAGGAAAAGAGTAAAGACAGAAGAGAAAGCGGTACTCCACAGTGGCAAGTGGCAAGCTGAATGGGCATCTGCTGTGGAAACTTAAAATCTGAGCTCACTTTTCTATCATGATTACATTTTTTATCATGGTCTGTTTGTCTAGACGCCGATTTGCTCCTACACCATGAAGCCCTCCAAGGGGCCCCGTTCTACTCTGCTCTGCACAGCAGACTATGACTACGCCTGACCAATCATCCTGAGCACCAAAAGCTGTTCCTGCTTGTCACAGACTCCCATAGCACAGGCCTGTTGTTTTACATTACTCTGCATACTGTGAGATTCTGTCCAGAAAAGGCCTGATTAATTCAATTAATTCAATGCCACTTCATAGCGATAATCAGAGCAGTACATAATAAAGAGGGAAAACACAAATGAATAGTGTGTACTTTGAAACTTTGCTTAACAAATCCACAGACATGCAGCAGTTGGGGCCATCACCATGGCCATTATATAATGTGAGTGTCTGGGAATGTTTTCATGCTGAAATTTCTTTGATCTACTTACCAAAATTGAAAGATATTTTTATAAACCGTTTATACAATGAGGTTACAAGTGAGCAATGATATGAATTAATTATGTACCAAGTAGCGTGGATCATAATTCAATAGTGCTTATTACAATAGTGCATTCCTGGGAATAATTTCTACTGATAATGAATTAAATAATTTTTTAAGTGACATAATTAGGCTAAGGATTACTTTTATTGCAATTTTTCATATGGTAATGTCTTGACCAAGAGATAAATGTTAAACATATTGCACTGGCATGTTCTGTGCTTAGGGAGCGAAGCCTGTCCTGGGACTGGACTCGCAGCAGCCCATGCAGAGTGCACCACCCATTGACCTCTGATTATTCCTAGTACCTGAGCCCATAGAGGGTTGGAAGATTTTGGGCAGCGCTGGGGGGTGGGCACGAACAAAGGCGGGCACCATGTAGGAGTAAGGAGAAGGCCGTGCCTCAGGTGGGGGGTACTGGGTGCAGGCAGCCACGGCTCGCAGGGTTCGGGGGGGGTGAAGGGGGGGCCTGGGCAGGGGCGGGACAGTGCTGACGCCATGCTGGGGGGCTGCGGCATGTGTGTGTGACCGTGGGTGGTGGGGGTGAGGAAAGAGAAAGAGAGAAAAGGATAAACAGAATAAAGTGAGACAGACAGAAGGATAAAGGGAGAGGAAAAGGTCATAGGAAAGGAGAAAATGGACTCAAATATAACAATAAAAGTTTCAACGAGTGCGACGCCTTCCCCCTTACGGGCTAAAGCCACGTGACTATTTACTCCAATGCCCTTTAACTTAATTTCTTAATCCGCTTGATGTAAGCTTGTTACTTGGAGAAAATTAAACACCCATCCATTTTCCAGGCTCACTTATTCTACGTAAGGTTGTGATGCTCTGGAGCCTGTCACGTAAGTGTACATGCCCTGAGTGCTATTGGGGGGGTACCTAGTACAAATGGGCTGGTGACAGTCACGGGCCCGCACTCCTGAGGAGCCTTTGGTACCGCAAAGGTCGGTGCTGATGAGAGAAAGAGGAGCAGAGATAAGCCATTAGCTGTAGGAGCAGCCTTGGAAAGAACAGCAGTGTGGGAATGAGAGAAGAGCAACAGCCGGGTGAGGGTGTTACCGGCCTGGGTGTGTCTGTGCTGCCCGGAGGCCCCCTTTAGAAGCGGGAGCATACCTACAGTGGCTGTCACCTGGCTGACCCTACGACCGGCCTTCCTGTCATCCTCCTCGTCACTCTCGTTGAAGTCCTCCATGTTGCCGATGTCTGCATGCTTCATGCTCATCAGACTGGCCAGGCTCTGCATGTCGTCGTCCCTGTGTGCAGAGAGTGGGTTCAGCCCAGGCTCAGTCATTACTTTCATGCTATACATTAAAGCAGTTCTCATTCCCAGAAGACGACCTGCAAATCCAAACTGTATTTACATGCCCTGGACACTAAGAATGTGCACATGATTTTCCAGAAAAAAGAAAATAATCCTGTTCTGTCTTCAGGAGACACTTCTGTTCCTGTATTCAAATGACAGTAAAGGTTGTGTTCTCGAAAATCACTTTCTAATATCACTCTCTTCCCATATGTATCACTGGTTGTGTTCTGGTGTGTTTTTATATGAAATGACATTCGTATATTACAAATGGCCTAACTGTGATCCTCAGTGCATACAAAATTCATACAGAGAAAAATGAAATGTCCTCATTTTAGTGCAGATACCCATTATAACAAAGTATAAACAACTACAAAATTATGCTTCCAGTAGAATTATCCTTTAACAATCAATACTCATATATAAGCGTCGCCAAACTGACTAATACACTGCCTAAGACATGTCCTGCCTTGCAGTTTCACTGCGTTCCTTGTTGTGCATTGTGTGGCCAAAGGCCCTGCTGAACTCACGTGGCCTTGCCCTCCTTGAGGAAGATGCACGTCAGCGAGAGCCTGAGGGATGCCTGCACCACCTTGACAGAGAGCGGCTTCAGCTGGAGCAGCAGGCTGGTCTGCGAGGGAGCGGCAAACTGCTTCAGGTTCACCTCTGCACAGGCCAGCAGTTTGCGGCGGCCTTTCATCTCCTATGAGTGAGACGCAATGACACTTGGTACCTCAAAGTGCGCATGGTTGACATGCCCCCCCCCTTTACATGCTATATGATGTCCTCTTATATTCAGATCCACAGACACTGCACAGCACTGCACAGCACAGCATGGCACCCTCCTCATGACACTCTTTCTCAGTGGAAACCAGAGTAACAGACAGATACTCACATTCTCAATAACTACTGTCCACTCCTTGTCTTCAAACTCCTCAGCATTGGGGTCCTAGAATTGAAATGGTGGCTTTAACTTTATCCAACCATAACAATCTGCAGCAATTCATTCAACAGTGACTTAATGCCACACGGCATCTCTGCTGGAGTCACATTTACATCATTCACTTCTCCTGTATAACCCTTAACATCACAACGACCTGAAGACTGGGGACATTCCCTAGTAATGGAGGATAACATTACTTAGCCCAAAATTCAGGTCACTGCTGAAAACCACAGGAATATGTAAAGGTAACCAGATCCAATCTACACCATGTGTGTCCTTAACAGATGCATTTTTGCCTCCCCCCATTCCTCCCTCCTTTAGATTTTGCCTTGCTATATCTAAGGCCCAAAACCAGCTCTTGGATATTTGCGATTTGAGATAACGTAAGTATATTACCAACTTTATTGTCAAATCATGTAGGTTTTTTCTCCTAAACACATTATAACAGAATTCACAAGACGTACCTTGAAGAGAGTGACAGCGAGCTCCACGTTTTCAGGCACATGCCACACCACTGTGCCCCGGTACGGGTTCTGAATCCCCGGCTGCCACCCATGAAGCTAGAGAGAACCAGAAGGTGACACCGTGGATATCAGTCATACAGTTAAAGGTGCTTCCACCAAATACTGTTTGGTGGACTGAATTATGTAGTCAAGAAATTAAAATTTCAAGTTACAGCAACCTTGGAGTGGCACGGTGGCTCAAAGATAGCATGATCATTACACACCAGCAGATCTATGGGGTTGAATCCCACCCCCAGGTCTGTGGGTGATGGGTTTGCATGTTCCCCCTACACTTTGGTTTCTTCCTTTTGTCCAAAAACAAATGGTGAGGGAAATTGTGGCATTGTGTGAGCATGTGCAATGTGACGGGCTGGCATGCCATCCCAGAGATTTCTGGGATTGGCTCCACTCTCACTCTGACCCTCTGCTGGATAAGGGGTATGGATGGATGCCACAGTAAATGCCTGTAGTTCCCATTTTCAATTCATTGGAATAACGTATTAAACAAAGTATGAAGAGGGTGACACAATGGCTCAATGGTTACACTGTTGCCTGACACCTCCTGGTCTGGGGGTTAGGATCCCTCATCCGCTGTGCGTGTGGAGTCTGCATGTTCTCCCCACATGTTGGTTTCCTCTGGGTGTCATCCCACAAAGACATGTAGTGTGGATAATCTGCATATTTTCATAGATGTTAGAACACAAAGCATCCTTGATGATTTCTTCCTGATATTGCAGTGCATACTCCTTGCAGAGTATGGCCTCAGAATGGCCTTAGTTTGTCAAGATCTTCACTTCACTAGGTATCAAAAGAGTTCTACAGGAATGCTGGTCCAGATGAACTTGAGTATTTCTCACAGTAGTGCTGAGCTTTCTGATTTTTTTCTCAAGTCAAAAAATCTCATTTGAATTTATCATATGCATTTCAGTGGGATCTGGTGACTGGCCAAGCTACTCAACTGAGATGAATTCATTGTTATGTTTGTGGAACCCTTCCTGGATATTCTTAGCCTTCTTAGTGGGATAAGAAATGATCCTGATGGAAAAGCCTGTGTCATTCAAACACTATTGACTATTTGTGCAGACTGTGGCTCCTTTAACTCAGATCAAGGAATCATTTTCACCAACAGTCTTTCTTTGGCTGGTGCAAATGCAGGACACTTTTTTGACTGAAAAACCTAGCAACGCTGCAGTCCTGTTCAGAGGCACCAAAATAGTTTTTTTCTCCATCACATACACAAATCATATATCAGTCACCTCCTTCTTTAACATATATCTGCCCTTCATTTAAACTGACAGATGTAACTGTAACATGCACCCATCTTCCAATCACTTATCCAGTACAGGGTGGTAGTAAACCTGCAGTATACCCCAAGAAGCAAAGTGTACATGGGGCCATGAATCAGAGACCAGTCCATCACAGGGTTTTCACTAGCAATCACATACAGTGGTGCTTGAAAGTTAGTGAACCCTTCAGAATTTTCCATATTCCTGCATAAATATGCTCCAGTGTCACACATCTGTGAGTGGAAAAAGTATGTGAACCTAGCCGGTAATTTAAAGGTGAGATTAGTCAAGTGTTGTCTATCAGTGTTATAGCTGTCAATCAATGTGATGACAGTCAGGTGTGAATGGGCACCCGCTTTATATTAAAAGAACTGGATTCTATCAAGGGCTTTATCTTCAAACCCGTTTGTGCATTATCAGTGTATCATGCCACGAACAAAGGACATTTCAGAGGACTTCATAAAAAGAATAATCATGCTGGGAAACAAAATCATCTCTAAAGAGTTTGGACTGCACCAATCCACAGTCAGACAGATTGTGTACAAATGGAGGAAGTTTAAGACTATTGTCTTAGGAGTGGTCAATCGGCAAAGATAACTTCAAGGGCAAGGCATGTGATTGTCCGCGAGGTCACTAAAGAACCAAGAAACTTCTAAGAGACTAAAAACCTCTCAGACATCGATTAATGTTAATGTTCATGAGTCTAAGATTATTTTGGGGTCTATGTCCACCGTCAGGTGAACACTGAATAAAAATGAACACTGGCAAGGTTGCAAGGAGAAAGCCACCGCTTTCCAAAAAACATTGGTTCCTGTCTACAGATTGCTGAAGAGCATGTGGACACGCTTGAAAACCTGAAAGCCTTATGATGCTTTGTGGATACGGGCCCTGAACAATAACATAAAAAGTCTATTTATTACCAATTTCTAACAAACAGTATTGTGCAGTACACTGTAGGATCACACATGCACATATCACAGGGCCTAAATTCCAGGTGGCCTGAGACAAGGCCGAGCCTGGTACAAGAGGCACCAAAGGGGGGTTACACACATAAACACACACACACACATAACAAGGGCGGCCAGCACTCCAACTTTTATTGCCCAAAGATTTAGGGACCTACAGACAAGCAGAGTGGACCTAATGGTCTCCCCTCCCCATGCATTCTGCCTTACATATCACTCACCCAACAGACCAACAGCCTAAAGGAAATTTCATTTAAGTTTGGATTTTGTA